TGCAAACACAACTGCTTCACGGTAGAAACACGAATGGGACAGAGGTGGCCAAGCAAACGACTTTTGTACAAAGTCTCCCTCTGGTCTTTTACTAACTAAGCTGAGTAGAATAAATAAAATATAAAGAATGTTGCTTATATAGAGTGTTCACTGTATATATTTAATAGATACATTAGATTGGTAACATTATCTGTTGCATATATGTATAAATATTACTGTGACGTCAACGACTACATACCTGTTTGATTTACTTTTCTATTTTTCCTATAACAATTGTCAACTACATCAAGTTTTTCTAAATTAAATAATCTAGATTATTTAATTTAGAAAAACTTGTTATTGGCCATTTTGTTTTTTTTTATACAACTTAAAATAGCAAACAAGCTGACGGCCCACCTGATGGAAAGTGGTAACCGTCGCCTATAGACATGAGCAGTACCATGGACATAACAGAGTATACTGTTTCGCCCATGATACCCCCTATGCGTTGCCATTCCTGAGGACTCAGATGTTATTCCTCTGTACCCAGTAAATTCACTGCCATATCCCACCCTTCAAACCGAAACACAGCCACGCAAACACAACTGCTTCACGGTTGAAACACGAATGGGACAGACCATACTCCTCTGTTATAAAATGTTTGTTAATTTTATTGGTAAAGAGGTTGTTTTTTTTTTTTTTAATTATTAAACCTTTAAATTTATAACGCCATACCATGGTACCATGTCAAAGATTCACTGAAAGATTATTTTTTTATGAATAATAATGTAATAGTTACCTCGCCTGTGCTATTAATATACATCGGCAGAGAACCAGTGAGGGTTAATAGGTGAGGATGAAAAGGCAGGTTAGTTTTTTGTTTAATGGATGAAAATGGAATGGTAACCCCGCCCGCGCTATCGGTATACACCGACGGGGCACCAGTGGATAGGATAGTGATAGTTGAAAATGAATGCAGGTCAGCTGACCCACCATGTTGAATTCGATAAGAATTAATTAACCGTGATGGTTTCCAGGGGGAACCCCGCGTGGAGATCGATCTGAGAGTAAGTTATTACTTAACCCTTTTTTGCATAATGGTGGAAATTTCCACCATAACATTGAATGCCCAAAAATTATATAAAAGAACAAGTTCACTTTAAGTTGATCGTGTCTAGATACCTTTATTTATACCTTGATTTATTTTTTTAACCATTTTTCCTTTTATTTTGAACATGAATTATATATATATATATATATATATATATATATATATATATATATATAACCTTGATTTATTGCACAAATAAAAAAAATCTTGCAAAGAAGGGTTAAATTCGAAGCTTAGTCGAAACACTAGTGTTACGGAATGTTACAGAGCAAGCTGTTGGTAGGCACTAATTTGTCTGTTCATATACTAATTGGGAACAGGTGGCCGACTCATTATCGTACAACTAGATTTATTTTTTTTAACCGACTTCAAAAAGAAGGTTATCAAATCGGTTGCATTTTTTATGTCTACCAGCAGGAGACTTTGTACAAAAGTCGTTTGCTTGAGCACCTCTGTGCCATTCGTGTTTCTACCGTGAAGCAGTTGTGTTTGCATGGCTGTGTTTCGGTTTGAAGGGTGGGATATGGCGTGAATTTACAGGGTACAGAGGAATAACAACTGAGTCCTCAGGAATGGCAACGCATGGGGGGTATCATGGGCGAAAAAGTATACTCTGTTATGTCCACGGTACTGCTCATGTGTATAGGCGACGGTTACCACTTTCCATCCGGTGAGCCGTCAGCTTGTTTGCCATTCTAAGTAGTATATAAAAAAAGTGCACTGAACTATGTTGTTTCATTTGTGATTTCAAGAAGTATGTAATTGGTAGATCGCAAAGGGTTTCGTCAGTAAACAGTAGATTTTGGGTCTAGTCAAATCGGACATCCCTGCTATATAGGCAATATTATTTAGAGAGATTGATAATACAGCTAATAATAAAGTTCCTAACTGAAAAAAAAAAATTACCTTTCAAACGCGTGCTCTTTAACTGACGCGCGCTGACTCATGGCCAAAAACTATGGGTTACTTCCGGTTATCATAGTATGTATACTGAATTAATTGACATTTACTGTACACCGTGGAATAGTAAACAAGCTGACGACCCACCTTTCAAGGGGGGGGGGTGTTAGTAATGGGGTCTAGCAGCCCTATTACGAGGGGAAGGGGGCTGCTAGTAAAGGGGTCTAACAGACCTATTGCTAGCAATATACCCTATCATGTCGACGTCCACGCGGTTCCCCCTGGAAACCATATATGGTTAAAAATGTCAATCGAAGGAATCACAAATACCATGCGGATAAAGTCGCGGGCATCAGCTAGTAGTAAATATATACCAACTTCATAGTGTTTAGTTAAGCCATTAAGGCGCTAAGAAGAAAGAAACAAAGGCATTTTTACATTTATAATGTAAGGATTATGTACTAAGATTAGTAAGGCAGACGAAGCCGCGGATTACAACTAGTAAAATAAATATAGAAAATTATCTAAATCTACGTATTATCATTCCAATACCCCTAATCTCCAATGGAATGCAGAGGAAATATAAAACTGTGTTGTAAAAAATATCACAACTTTAGATTATATAATTTACTATATACACATATTATGGTATATACCATATAAATTAATTATCCATTGCTAAACATAAGCCTTCCATATTTTTTTTATGCAACTTAGAATGGCAAACAACTGTCCTAGTCCTGTAAAGTGGATAATATAAATGATAATATTATATAGTTGATATTTTATAAATATCTTTCAAGGGAAGGATTGTTGAAGGGGAAGGGACTGTTAGTCCCCATTGCTATCAATTCCGCCCCATTTCTATCAGGTCGAATTCCATGCAATTCTCCCTGGAAACTATCATGATTAATTTATTGTTGAATTCATCATAATGGGTTAACCATCTACCTTTTCATCCTCACTAGTACCCTACCAGTGTATATTAATAGCGCAGATGGGGCAACCAAGCAATTTTTACCCATTAAACAAAAACAAATTGCAGTGTTATTTCCGCTGGAATAATTACTGCCAGATTTATAACCTAGGTTCCAGAATATTCTCTATGATCAAAGAACCTAGCACCAGACATGTGCTCAACTACAACTCCTATTACTGTTCTTAGGTCATAGTCTATTTTTTTTTTTACGAGCAACTGCCAAGGTTGTTTATGTAACAGCTGACATAAAATCTAAAATTATTTGCCAATGTAACCTTCATAGTAATAAAATTGAATATTAATTTAAAATAGAATATCCACATATTGATATTTTTATTATTTTAGTAATCTTTTTTAGTTACTTTTAATAAATATAAAATGGTAACCCCATATTGAACACACACTACATTAATAGTGAGCGATGATAGGTGAGTATGAAATACATTAGATTATTAGCAATCTCACTAAGAATTAAATATATATTTTTTTTAATAACTTAGAACGGCAAACAAGCTGACAGCCCACCTGATGGAAAGTGGTAACTGTCACCTATAGACGTGAGCAGTACCATGGACATAACAGAGTATACTGTTTTACTCATGATATCCCCCATGCGTTCCAGAGGACTCAGGTATTATTCATCTATACCCTGTAAATTCCCACAATATCCCACCATTAAAACCGAAACACGGCCATGCAAACACTAATGCTTCACGATTGAAACAGAAATGGGACAGAGGTACCCAAAGAAATTACTTTTGTACAAAATCTCCCACTAATAAAATATAATGTAGGCAAGGGTAATATTAGTATCATACCAATATCTATTAGGTACTTCTGGACATTGATGATGGAGGAAAAGGTCATCACCTATTTGGATATAGCCTATACAGGTCAGATATCTGTATTAATTTCAATCAGGTGCTGTATTTTGATATTAAATATATATATTTAATATATATGAGAAATATTTAATATATCTTTTACTAGCATTTACCTGTGACTTTAATATTGCTATTTCATTATCCGTCCCTATCACAATCTCCAGGAACTATGTGAAAATTTGCACGACAGGGTAAATTTCTAGTAAGTTAGGGCAGTTAGTCCCTGTTATTAATAATAGCAATTACCCTAATAACAAGATAATAATACAAAATGACACCAGCGATTTAATCCTCAGGATGTAGTAAGAGATGGCTAAATGTACAAAGCACAATATATCAGGAGGGAAGGATTACATATAATGGGGTTCAATGATCCCATTACCAACAATATACTCTGTCAGGTTGACTTTCATACCGTACGTCTTGGAAATCCATACGGCCTATTATGGTTCAACTTGTCACAATGGACTAACTGACCAGCATTCATCCTCACCTATCACCTGTCGCTAGTGCCTTGCCAGCATATACAGAAAGCAGAGGTGGGATTAATATTCTATTATATATTAAAAAAAAATGTACAATAAGTTAGTGAAATAATGATATAGGGGGGAAAGGGATTGCTAGCAATGGAGTTTGACAGCCCCATTGCTAGCAATATGCCTTATTAGGTAGACCTCCACGTGGTTCCCCCTGGAAACCATCGTGAACAATTCTTGTTGAATTCGTCACAATGGGCTAACTGACCTACTTCATCCTCACCTATCATCCTTCACTGGTACCCTGCTGGTGTATACCGATAGCGCGGGTGGGGTTACCATTCCATTATCATTCATCAAAAAAATAATAATAATGATATAAGGAAAATGGGAAGTAAAACATGAGGTCACCTGAGTAGTACTAGTTTTAAGAGGCTAAGGTAGTAATATACTTTTTAGAGAAGATAGCAATAAGCTGTGTAGATTGATTAACCAATCAATCATTTATTTATGAATTATAAGTGGAAATAAATTGTTAAAATATGTGATGATAATGATAGGTTTCCTACTCTGTTTTATAATGGAATAGATTTTTTTTTTATTTTAAAGGGTTTTATACCTTTTTCAGGTATATCATCACTTTGTATTGACTAAATGAACTGGATTCTCACCTTTAATGTCACTTTTGTGGATTATATCCTTAAAAAAAACACTGATTTCAAATTTAGAATACACAGAATTTTCATTTAATAATAGATTACTTTGTCCACCACATACACCTTGTTTTTAACCCAAAAACGCTTTTTAGACTAATCAAACACACTTGTGGTGAATGCACAAAAAACACTGCAATCCAATGGAGAAAACGAGAATACAGACACAAGATATCGCCCGTTATATGAAACGTATTCCATGAATCACTAATTGAATTAAGCAACTTAATGACAAATGTATAAGCGACGTAAATAAATACGACGTAGACGATCGGCGACACATTCGCAACTGCGGACACTCGATAAAATACAGGGCCGGTATCGCATCCCGCGTCCTCGACTAAAAAACTTGTTCACTTCACCTACTGAACTACATGGCAGTGTTTCCGCGCATATTAATCATTACGATATACAACGGACGCTATAATCAACACCCGATACAAGTTTAATGCAACTAACGTACGATAATTTTCATAATTATCACACTTAAATATAAGTTGAGTGAAAGGAGACATACCTTAGCGAAAACTTGAATTGAAATATTGTTCACTAATGATCCAAGTCTGTTAAGGTGTAATTAACACTAATCACAAAATAATCGTCCACAAAAATGTAGAAAACACAAACAAATAGTCACACCCACGAATAAACGAAAACGACAAAGTATGCGGCGGATATGAACTATCCAGTGAAAGACGCCATTTTGATTTCGTCAACTAACAGCTATAGACAACATAGAATTATTGCGTTTAGTTAATCCCAAATCTATAATTTAAGCAATTGAATTTATATTAGAATAACATATAAAAATTGTTGATTACCTAAATTGTGACATCAGAAATAATATATACTTGGTACAATGTTTAAATCACATTAGAGTTGATTTAAATTCTGCAATATTGAGAACATAGTAATTTCAAATAAATTTTACAATACATTAGGCTAATGAATATCATCTTTGATTAACCGTATAATTTAAATAAATTCCAATATTAAACATTTCATAAGAGGAATTTTTGTCATATGTTTTAATCTGAAAGCATATAATAAATCGATTAGAAGAATAACTAAATTAAAAAAAATAATGCAGAAGTCTATGAGAAATGTATTGCCAAAATAAAAGATCCTTAATAAAGAAAATTATAAAAATTCTAAAAATTTAATAAAATATAATATAGAGTTTAATAGAAAAAGACGATCTAATAATTTTAAAGAATCTAATATTTAATTTCAATCACCAATTCAACTGAAAACTCGAATAATTGATTTAGAAATAAACTTACTATTAAAACCTGTAGGGTAAGGAAGTATTTAATTTTGGTACAACCTTATCTAATCATTTTTAAACAAATGTGTAACCTATATAATTTTTTTGCATAATTAAAAAAAAAATTAACAATAAACAAGCAAGAACTCTTAGTTTCGCATAGATCAACTGATTTAAGCAAAGAACCAAAAAAAAAACAACATAATAAGTATAAATCTTGTCTTGTTTCTACACATCCTAATGGGAGACAAGCGTAACGAATATGTATTTAAATCTTATTTTTATGAGTCTATACTTTCCTTTTAGTATATACATGCTGTGATACAAAATCTAAATATTGATAAGTTCATTAATATTGTATCAGGCAACATTGTAAATGTCAAAAAAAGAATCTGAAAGCAGCTGTGCTTGTGCTTGGACGTGTTTTCGTTAGATTGATTCGATATTTTCCCAAAAATGGCTATGTGAGACCGTAACAAAGAAGAAAACTAGATGTGAAACGCGCAAACAATATGTCTAGCCGTCGGTCTATACTCGGTTCGGCGCTTGACTCGTTGCCTCCGCCCACAGATCCTCTACGCGAATTGTTCGAAGCTTGTAAAACAGGTGATGCTGCGAGGGTGAAAAAACTAATTTCACCACAAACAGTGAACGCGAGAGACACAGCTGGAAGGAAATCCACTCCTCTACATTTCGCTGCTGGTATGTGTTTACATTAAATATGTTTGTTTACAATTATAAAACTAAAAATTACGAAGTGAAAGGACTCGTGTTTTTAATTGTAAATTTGTAAATTTTACATCGTTGCATAATTAGTTACGCTGTTTGATTGCGTCCAGTTTCGTGTTTTAACAGTTTTAATTCGGCTAAACTCTTGTAATACGGCGTGTCAAGATTAATTTCTTTTTTAGGTGTTGTGCCTGTTTTAACATCCAATAAACTTTTACTGTTGTTTATCACGACAGTTGTGTGTTGTTGTACAATTGCAAGTATATGATGCGTTAATTTTTACTGTAAATTTAATTCAAATGCTGGTATTAAAGTCTGTTTCAATACAATTTATTTAAAATGATAACAAACATATCATTGGCCGTAAGACAGTCCACTAATGTCCATTAATTTTTAATTTGCTACTATTTACATTTACAGAGTCTATCTGCGTTAATTTCAACAAAACTTTTTTTTTACTTTTACACACATATTTAATTGATAATATAATAAATTGCTAATTTATTTTTAATAATCTGTTTGCCTTCTGGTAAATTGACTTGTCCATCATTTTTCATTCTTGCCAGTTTTGTGTCATTCAGTAGATTATTTTGTGACTTGCCTTATTATCATACCAGTCTTATATAAGCTATCAGATCAGACAAGAAAATTATTAGAAGAATATTGATCCTTAAAAATTTTTAAATAAAATATTTTTTTTATATAGACATATTTTTGTGCTGCAAATAAAAAATACACCATTTGCAATATAAAAAATCTGATAATATAAAAAAGAATGCTTTATTTAATGCTGTCTGTGTCTCTCCTAGACTTTTGTCTTAGTGTATATTTTTTAAATATATGATTAAGGAATGGTAACCCCACCTGCGCTATCAGTATACACTGGGGGGGCACTAGTGAGGGATGACAGGGATTACTAATTATTGATTTGATTGATTACTAATCATTTTAATGACTCATCCAATCAACATTTATACTTTTTAGGTTTTAAATTTTGCATGCCAAATTATGGTGTCCTCATCAAATGACCAAACCAACACATTCCTTTTTTGATTTAGAATGAAAATATTAACTTTAAAATGAAACATTCATACATTTACATAAATAAAGATATGTTTATGTATTTACATCAAAATGTGCATAAGAGAAAACAGTGGAATTAGTAACTACAGCATTAGGATTATTTTGGTAAATTGTCATGTGTAATACCCCTTGTATTGCAGGCATTCATAGGTTACGGTAACCGCTTACCATCAGGTGGGCCGTATGCTTGTTTACCACCTCAGTGGTATAATAAATAAATAAATAAATAAAATTTTTACAACAACTACAACAAAGAGTTGTGAATACAAAGGATTGGATTGTGTTGTCAAAGTACTCATTAGACTGTAAGCTGACTGTTTGTTACATAGGATACACAGCTTCATTGTATTATTATTTATTGTAGCGATTCATTCGGCTACCTCCTTTTAACCGCGCCAACAATTTTTACCTTAATATAATATTAAGACTCTTTTTCGTTTGCATAATTTAGAAACATTGTGACATTTGAGTTTTAGTTTATCTGACATCTATCTTTCTGTCTTTACGAATCCTACCTAATGTAAAATATTAAATAGTTATTAAATGTTATTGTCCATTGCTGTTCATTAGTTCCCTTCTGTCTTTCAACTGCAAGATGAATAGAATCTTTCTGCAAGCAACGTTAGTGACTGAATGCAATAGATGTCCTTAGTCACTACATTTATTGTAGGTATTGAGGTGTGAACTTCTTACACAGGTTATGGGCGCAGGGAAGTGGTAGAGATCCTGATATCGGCGGGCGCGGCGCTGCAGGCGCGCGACGACGGCGGGCTGCAGCCGCTGCACAACGCGTGCTCGTTCGGGCACGCGGACGTCGTGCGGGCGCTGCTGGCGGCCGGCGCCGCTCCCGCCGCCCGCGACAACTGGGGCTACACGCCGCTGCACGAGGCCGCCGCCAAGGGCAAGGTGGACGTTTGTATCGGTTAGTAATGTTTCTATATATATATGTATATATATATATATATATATATATATATATATATATATATATATATATATATATATATATATATATATATATATATATATATATATATATATGTATATAATATTATAATACATAAAGATAATTAAATAAACTTGCAATCACATCACTAAGGACTCTGCCCCCACATTGCTTTATTAGCGTGAAAATTCATTGATATATTCGACATGAAGCTGTCATCATTCAGGGGGTGCGTGAGCCGTTTGGCATGAACTTGTACGTTTACTAGTATTTAATGATGTAGTTCATGTTTAGGATGGCTGGGCTGTTTTTCTTGTGTGGTGATAGTTTTATGGTAATTATACTAATTATTATGTCTTCCACGTGTCGAAATTGAAATGTTATGTCTAAATGTTAATCATGTTGTGTACACATGTTTCTGAATTGTAACCTAGCATTAACACCATAATTACCTATATATAAACCTAACATGGTTATAATTTGTTATGTGGGGGCCTCATTAACACGTTGAGCGCCACGCGTATTTCTACAGCAATCCCGTTCAGGCCACGCGCGCCGCTTCGAAGCGCTGGTACTGCAGCAGCTGGTGTTTCCTATCGTAGTAGAAGGTAGTTTACGTTTGGAATGTGATTCCTATAGGCATTCATTGAACACGTTACGCACCAAGTCTGTTTTGTTTTCTGTAATTCCGTAAAATAGTGTAAAATTTTATAGTTCTCATGTTACACGCTATCAGACACCGATGGCTGACGCGGCCTAAACGGAAAGTCTAGTGTCAACCACCGATGGCTGACATGGCGCTTAACGTGTTAAAAATAAAAATAAATAAATTTGAATAAAAAAAAACTTACCTGTGTGTTAATTTTGGAATGATCTATTTCTATATAATTGATTGAGGGATTCATATGAATTATTTAAATTATTTTATTATTTATTTATTTAACCATAAAACCATCAACAGCATATCGCATTATAAAAAACTTTAATGAAATCATTTGACTGCTAATTTCATCCAATATACCCTTTTTCCTAAGAACAAGGAATTATATAGAAGGAATGATAAAATAAGGCCCATCAACGTTTAGAAATCCTCGGAACGGTGACGTCGCTCTGTGAGGCCTGTGAAGAACCCAGGAAGCTTCTGCACTTCTGGACGGAGCTAGGTTGGCTGCACTAGCCACGACTCATACGCACAACGTCCCAAATGAGAGGCTAAATGCGGAAAATAGAATCTTTTTCACATTCACCCGGCATAACCCTACTGACCTAAATTATATGGTTGCCTCCTTTTTTTCTTATGCAAATATAATTAGTAAAAAGAGGACGAAAGGTACACTATCAATTGCCTTTTTATTAATTCATACAGTTTTTTTTTTGTTTTAATGGGTGATAATGGAATGGTAACACCACCTACGCTAACGGTATACACTGGCGGGGCGCCAGTGAAGGATGATAAGTGAGGATGAAGCAGGTCAGTTAGCCCATCGTGACGAATTCAACAAGAATTGTTCACGATGGTTTCCAGGGGGAACCACGTGGAAGTCGACCTAATAGGGCATATTGCTAGCAATGGAGCTGTCAAACTCCATTGCTAACAATCCTTTTCCCTCCCAATTCATACAGTTAACTCATCACTGGTCAGCAAATAGAATTGTTTGTTCTGAACCTCAAGCATGTGCTTTCGATATGTTCTAGCGTTGCTGCAACATGGCGCCGATCCGAATATACGCAACACCGAGGGCAAAACGCCGTTAGACCTCGCAGACGCCGCCACCAGGCCCGTCCTGACGGGTACGTTACCTTCTGCAAATGTCCATTTTTAACATAGTTATTAACTTATTGTTGGTACTGTATGTTTTAGTGCAATAAAGAATATATTTTTTTTTATCGACTTCAAAAAAAAAGAGTGTTCACAATTTGGTTGTATTTTTTTTATATTTGTTACTTCTTAACTAAGAACAAGGAATTACATAGAAGGAATGATAAAATAAAAACTGTAAATCATATTGTTGTCTTCTTTCTCGTTATATAAATGTAATTAGTACAAAGAGGACGAAAGATACACCATCAGTTGCTATTTTTCTCAATTCATAGCAGGCCAGTGTATAGAAAATGTATATTACCAAATTCAGATACAACCCGCTTGCATACTTTCTACATAAACTGTGTCCAATATATACTAATTATATTGACAAATAATTGACATATCAAAGATTTTCTATATAGAAAATATTTAATAAGTCAATAACAAATTTTACATTACTAGATTATATATTGGACACAGTTCATGTAGAAAGTATGCGAGCGGGTTGTATCTGAATTTGGTAGGATTATACGGCCGTATATTATTTTCTATACGCCAGCCTGCTATGAATTGAGAAAAATTACAATTAATGGTGTATCTTTCGTCCTCTTTTTACTAATTATATTTACATAAGAAGAAATGAGGCAACCATGTGATTTAGAGTTTTTATTTTATCATTCCTTGTATGTAATTCGTTGTTGTTAGCTTTCAAGTTCGGCAGTTGTAAATATATTTGTGCGTTGCGGGCAGGCGAGTACTGCTCGATGGAGGTGCTGGAGGCGGCGCGCGCGGGCGCGGAGGAGCGGCTGGCGGCGCTGCTGACGCCGCTGAACGTGGACGTGCACGCCGCCGACGGCCGCCGCTCCACGCCGCTGCACCTCGCCGCCGGCTACAACCGCGCGCGCGCCGTGCGCCTGCTGCTGCAGCGCGGCGCCGACGTGCACGCCAAGGACAAGGGGTCAGCGGCGCGGCCTTACACCTTACACCTTACACCTTACGCCTTACACCACCGACACTAACAATCGCATTGCTACCAATGTATACACCTATATACACGGTGGAAGGAAAAGTTTGGTAAAAACTGAAACAGTCAATTCAGACCATTATTCTGAACCAGTGGAAATCCTTTCCGGAAAATTTCAATTTTTTCTCATATTTTTTTTTTTTATTTAAAATCATGTAATGTATTATATTATATGATAACTATGCTGACCCCGTAAACGTTGCTTTACCACTTATTGCGAAATATAAAAATGGCGATTAAAAAACAGGAGTTGATCGTCAAAATGATGAAAATTTAAAGTTGTATGTATTTTTCAATGCTAAATCATATTTAAAACACAATTTAAAAATTTTGTCAAAAAAATATAAAAAAAAAAAATTTTAGCGGTGGGTCACCCTTATCATTGATGGGTATAAAAAATAGATGTTGGCCGATTCTCAGACCTACCCGATATGCGCACAAAATTTCATGATAATCGGTAAAACCGTTTCGGAGGAGTTTGGTAACAAACACCGTGACACGAAAATTTTATATATTAGATATGAAGAAATGGTAATATTTTAATGTTGAGTCGAGTTTTGTACTTAGAAACACATATAACCATTTACCAGAGGGAGACTTTGTACAAAAGTCGATTGCTTGGGTACCTCTGTCCCATTCGTGTTTTAACCGTGAAGCAGTTGTGTTTGCATGGCTATGTTTCGATTTGAAGGGTGGGATATGGCGTGGATTTACAGGGTACAGAGGAATATACATCAGTCCTCAGGAATGGCAACGCATGGGTGGTATCATGGGCGAAACGGTATACTCTGTTATGTCCATGGTACTGCTCATGTCTATAGGCGACGGTTACCACTTTCCATCAGGTGGGCCGTCAGCTTGTTTGCTATTCTAAGTTGTATTAAAAAAAAATTGTTTTTATTTATTTACATTTTCTGTCCAACAGTGGGCTGGTGCCACTTCACAACGCGTGTTCCTACGGCCACTACGAGGTGACGGAGCTACTGGTTCGCGCAGGAGCTGATGTCAACGCGACCGATCTGTGGGCCTTCACGCCCCTACACGAGGCCGCTAGTAAAGCCAGGCTGGAGGTACGTCATACTCGGGAACGGGTGCTGTTTGCTAGTATAAGTTAGCAAAGTTATTAGTTTGCGCGGTAACTGTGATCCTTCATGCCGATGTAAATGGTGGTCGATAAGGACAGACTTGAAGTACATCATACTCGGGAACGGCTCCTGTTTTCCACTGTAAGATAGTTTGCTTCGAGGCTGTTATGAACACGATGGATCTGTGTGCGTTCACGCCAATGCCAACACACAACAAGCAATGCCAGCCTAGAGGTATGTCATACTCGGGAACGATCTATTACGTCAATTTGAAGTAAAGTGGGTTCCCCGGAACCTAGAGGTCCCATAGTAATAGTCAGGATTCCACCAAATTACTTATTTTTAGCTATTTTTTATGGATGATAATGAAATAGTAAAGTCGCCTGCGCTAACGGTATACGCTGGCGGGGCATCAGTGAAGGATGATAGCTGAGGATGGAAGGGCAGGTCAGTTTTTTCTTTAATGAATGATAATAGAATGGTAAACCCTCCCGCGCTAAAGGTATACTCTGACGAGACACCAGTGAGGGATGATAAGTGAGAATGAAAAGTCAAAAGTCAAGTTTTTTTTTGATGGGTGAAAATGGTATGGTAACCCCGCCTGCGTTAACGGGATACGCTGGCGGGGCACCAGTGAAGGGTGATAGATGAGAATAAAAACAGGCCAGTTAGCCCATGATGATGAATTCATCGGGAATTAACCATGATAGTTTCCAGGGAGAACCGAGAGGAGATCGACCTGGTTGGGTATATTGCTATTATTAGGACTATTAGTCCACATTACTAACAATCCCCCCCCCCCCTCGGGTAATGGCGCTGTTATACCTCATTTATATCTATACTTAAAATAAATCTGTAGAGAGGTCAATTCTGTACATGAAATATATTTCCAAAATAACTATCAGGCGGTGATTAGTGATCGATACTGATGCCAAAAATGCAATCAGTAAAATTTATTCTTCATACTCCTAGACAGGTTATAGTATACTTTTCATCACGCTACGATCAATAGGAGCAGAGCGGTGAAGGGAAATGTTGGGAAAACGGGAGAAGTTACTGCATTTTTAAGCTTCCGTCGCGTGTGTAGCCTTAAAGGCCACTTTTTAAAATGTAAAAATATCCACCCGTGCGACGCCGGGACGAGCCGCTAGTTATTAATAATCAGGGGAAAAAGGGATTGTTAGTAATGGAAACTGAGAAACCCGTTGCTAGCAATATACCCAACCAGGTCGACCTCCTCGCGGTTCTCCCTGGAAACTATCATGGTTAATTCCTGATGAATTCATCATGACGGGCTAACTGGCCTGTTTTCATTCTCATCTATCACCCTTCACTGGTGCTCCGCCAGCGTATCCCGTTAGCGCAGGCGGGGCTACCATACCATTTTTATCCATCAAAAAAAAATTATTAATAATCCGTTTCCCCCACCACTAATGTGTAATTCTTTATGGACCTCAGGTATGTTCCCTGCTGCTGAGCGAGGGCGCTGACCCGACTCTGTTGAACTGTCACGGCAAGTCGGCGCTAGATGTCGCCCCCACGAGGGAGCTGCAGGAGAGACTAGCTTGTGAGTATATGTCTTATCACCATGTTTTCATCAAATCGGCCGTTGACTGTCCACTGCTGAACGTAGACCTCCTCTAGGAAGTTCTGCCAGTAGTTGCCACGTTTGGCAGGTGGGTTGGCAAACGCAAGTAGGCTTTGGTAGTGTTTTAAGAGGGACGCTGCTGCCCATCCCTCGATCATCAAGCTCCCACAGTCGCCTCTTATGACACCCACGGGAAAGGAAGTGGTGGTCCCCTCTATTTGTTTCTACATTGCTCCCGTGCGAAGCCGGGGCAGATAGTGAAGTGTATGTAAATAAATGTGGTTGGCTTTTGGCCATAGCAGAAAATCAGTTTTGCCCATTTGAAGGCAAACAAAAAACCGACCTGTGGTCATTTTGCGTTATTGTGGCACACACATGAAAGGAAAAATTATGTTACTTCTTTCATGGATTTTCTTTTTTTTTTTCCTTCCCCTTTTGTTATTTTTGTACTAAGTGATGCAAATAAATTTATTTATTTAACTATTGCACCAAAAACAAAAATATACATAGACAATTAGAAAATTCAAGTGAAATACAATAGCACAAAGTATATACACACATACACATAAAGGTACAAAAGGCAATCTCTTACAGACAACTTTCGGTTTAAGGAGAACAGACAGAAGTGGGTAGCGCACGAGTAAATTAATAATTTTCACGTCCATAAAATATAAAAACCGCACAATATATATATATATATATATATATATATATATATATATATATATATATATATATATACATACACACACAAGAAGATATATATATATATATATATATGTATATATATATATACATACACACACAAGAAGATATGACGAATACATTAATAATATTACAGAAGAAAGTAAAATACAACTACTATGAAAGAAAATGCGATTTTATATTTATCTATGTTTTCAGTCGAGTACCGCGGCCACTGTTTGCTGGAGGCGTGTCGCCTGGCCGAGCCGGGGCGCGTCAAGAAGCAGCTCTCCACCGCCTCTGGGTCGCACCAGGTCTGTCTTTTTCCTCTTATACCACTAAGGTGGCACAAAAGCATACAGCCCACCTGTTTGTAAGTGGTTACCGTAGCCTATGAACACCTGCAATACCAGAGGTTTTACATATATATATATACTTACATATTGTATGTTTATAATTAACTATGCACATTTTCGATTGCTATCTGTTGTGTCCAAATAAATTAAAAGTAAATACATATATAACGTATATAGATATAATATAGGAGAGATGTATTTGTACGCAGGGCGGGCAGGCGTCGAGCGGCGGCAGCACGGCGTCGCTGCCGGGCGAGTGCGCGGCCGAGGCGCTGGCCAACTTCACGCACGCGGCCTCCGGCGACCGCCCGCTGCACTGCGCCGCCGCCAGCGTCTACCCCAAGCGGAAGCAGGTACGCCCGTCGCCATCCCGATACCCTGCTACCCTGGTACCCATTGGAAAGGAACGGGTGGCCCATTCCAAGCCGGGACTACTCCGCCAAGGAATTAATTTTAATTTTTTTTATGCAATTTAGAATGGAAAACTAGCTGACAGCCCACCTGATGGAAAGTGGTAACCGTCGCCTATAGACATGAGCAGTACCGTGGACATAACAGAGTATACTGTTTCGCTCATGATACTCTCCATGCGTTGCCATTCCTATGGTGGGTGTTATTCCTCTGTACCCTGTAAATTTACTGCCATATCCCACCCTTCAAACTGAAACACAACCATGCAAACACAACTTACACACAACGCTGTACTTATACAATTGTATCGTTATGTTTGTAAATTGTCTTGTTTATTTCCTATATTATATAATGCAAATAAAGTATACTCATTCATTCATTCATTCACAACTGCTTCACGGTAGAAACACGAATAAGACAGAGGTGCCCAAGCAAACGACTTTTGTACAAAGTCTCTCTCTGGTATGGATCTAAAATAAATTTTAGTTATAAAATTTTCGTCTTACGCCAAGCGTAATAACTACTAGCAAAACCCCCCTTTGTGGTAGGGTATGTTCAGTGATGGACGATCAACAGCTGGTTTGACGATGATGACACCTCAAACGTCAAGTTTGCTGACTAAATCATGACCCTGGACGCTCTATCTATATGATCTAAAGTACTGGGTTTTTTTTCCAGGTAATGGAGATACTGATAAGGAAAGGCGCGCGAGTGAACGAGAAGAACAAGGAGGGCCGCACGCCGCTGCACGTCGCCACCGAGCATGCGCACCTCGACGCCATGGACCTGCTGCTCAGGCACGGTGAGTCTGCACAACAAATGGCCAGCTTCCAGTACAAGGAGCTTCTCAATTCGCTTGTACTTTTTTTATATTTCATACTCATATCAGCTGTTTTTTTTTTTTCATCATTTCATATCAGCCTTTAACTGTCCACTGTGTTTTTTTTTTTATACAACTTAGAATGGCAAGCTGACGGCCCACCTGATAGAAAGTGGTAACTGTTGCCTATAGACATGAGCAGTACCATGGACATAACAGAGTATACTGTTTCGCCCATGATTTCCCCCATGCGTTGCCATTCCTGAGGACTCAGTTGTTATTCCTCTGTACCCAGTAAATTCACGCCATATCCCACCCTTCAAACCGAAACACAGCCATACGAACACAACTGCTTTACGGTTGAAACACGAATATGACAGAGGTACTCAAGCAATCGACTTTTGTACAAAGTCTTCCTCTGGCAAGTTGCCATGCTTGGCAGGTGGATTGGCAACCGCAGTTAGGCTCTGGTAATCTTATAAGAAGAACGCTGCTGCCTATTCTTCTACCATTAAGTTCCATTAGTCGCCTCTTACGGCAGCCACGCGATAGGAAGGAGTGGTCCATTCTATGCCGGGACCACACGGCGGTATATAATATTAGTAAGGATGTCATATGTGTGCAGGTGCGAAGGTGAACGCGATGGACGGGCGCGGCGAGAGTGCACTGTCGCTGGCGGCGCGGCGCGACGCCGCCGCCGCCTGCCGCCTGCTGCTGGCGTGCGGCGCCGACGCCCGCCCAGACCTGCAGCAGCACCATCCGCAGCACCCGCCGCACCAGCAACACCAGCAGCCCGACGGTGAGTGGTGACAGCTCTTGGGAATTTTATCTGAAAACCTTTACTACTAGATGGAGTGACGATCCCAAATATGTTCATGCCAGGGCTTTCTTCCTTATGGGTTAATAATGGGAGGGGAGTGGTGTTTATGTTTATTAATGGACATTAATGGTTTCTATGGAAACTATGCTACTGTGCCATATGAAGAAAAGTCACTGAACTATGTGTTATCATGCGGTAGTCTATATAACTGGTTATTTGTTTAATATTATTTTGTTTAATTCCGCTACAATTAGTATGTGTGCGACTGCCAACACTCGGGTTATTTGTTTAGAATTATTTTGTTTAATTCCACTGCAATTAGTATGTGTGTGACTGCCAACACTCGGGTTATTTGTTTAGAATTATTTTGTTTAATTCCGCTACAATTAGTATGTGTGCGACTGCCAACACTCGGGTTATTTGTTTAGAATTATTTTGTTTAATTCCGCTACAATTAGTATGTGTGCGACTGCCAACACTCGGGTTATTTGTTTAGAATTATTTTGTTTAATTCCACTGCAATTAGTATGTGTGTGACTGCCAACACTCGGGTTATTTGTTTAGAATTATTTTGTTTAATTCCGCTACAATTAGTATGTGTGTGACTGCCAACACTCGAAGATTGACCACCACTGTTACTACCAGAAGTTGCACTGCATTCCTTATAAGTCATTTATTTTCGACTGTCGTTTTCGTACACCTCAACCTGTAGATGATGGAGAGAATAGAATTTCATATCCACATTATTTGCATTCTGTTCGCTCATCCTTCAAAATGGCATTTCCAATTAGACTACTAATAAGCAACTCTTCTTTTCAAAGTGTATTTCTATGTAAAAAAAAAAAAATACTTAAAATGTGTCGAGCGCAATTAAACATCTTACATTCTTGTCACGCATTTGAAAAAAGAAGTTCCAAATTCAAATATTATATTACTTTTAGCGCCGAAATTCCGAATTCAAATGAACTCTTGGCGTGTCGCACGCCTTCCAAATTCGAAAATGTAATTTGACTCGTGTACCGCGCAGCCGAGTCGTGCGCCAGTAGCACCGCGGGCGGCGGCGGCGGCAACAGTGCCGGCGCGGCGCTGCGGCTGCTGGAGGCGGCGCGCGCGGGCGACGCGGAGACCGCCCGTGCGCTGCTGGACGCGCGGCCGCGGCTCGTCAACTGCCGCGACCTCGATGGCCGCCACTCCACGCCGCTGCACTTCGCCGCCGGGTGAGTGTTCAGTAGGGAGTCACCCAGGTTTTTTTTTTATACAACTTAGAATGGCAAAGAAGCTGACGGCCCACCTGATGGAAAGTGGTAACCGTAGCCTATAGACATGAGCAGTACCATGGACATAACAGAGTATACTGTTTTGTCCATGATACCCCCATGCGTTGCCATTCCTGAGGACTCAGGTGTTATTCCTCTGTACCCAGTAAATTCACTGCCATATCCCACCTTTCAAACCGAAACACAGCCACGCAAACACAACTGCTTCACGGTTGAAACACGAATGGGACAGAGGTACCCAAGCAATCGACTTTTGTACAAAGTCTCCCTCTGGTGGACGAGTGTTTAGTAGAGAGGTCGAAGTGAGTGAGTCTTTTATGAAGAGGTAGGAGCGGGCGAGTGCAGAATCTTATGAGGAAGCGGCGTAAATTATGGTCCCAGTCTTCAAAGTCTGCGTCAGAATTTAGGCAGCTTAATAAGTAAATTTTCAAGTGTATACAGCGTGATATACACCAGGGCGAGCCTATTGTGGAGAGGTCGAAGTGGGGGTGAGTGTTCAGTGGAGAGCTCAGAGCGGTCGAGACTTTGACAGAGGGAGACTTTGTACAAAAGTCGATTGCTTGGGTACCTCTGTCCCATTCGTGTTTCAACCGTGAAGCAGTTGTGTTTGCGTGGCTGTGTTTCGGTTTGAAGGGTGAGATATGGCGTGAATTTACAGGGTACAGAGGAATAACATCTGAGTCCTCAGGAATGGCAACGCATGGGAGGTATCATGGGCGAAACGGTATACTCTGTTATGTCCATGGTACTGCTCATGTCTATAGGCGACGGTTACCACTTTCCATCAGGTGGACCGTCAGCTTGTTTGCCATTCTAAGTTGTATAAAAAAAAATTTGCTTGACCACCTAAAAATGTAATGAGGATTATATACTTGGTGCAGTTCTATTAACCCTTGGTTGGTTTGCACAGAACATATCGCATAGATGCCCGTACAACCAGCGTCTTAAATTCTTTACTATGCGGACCCTGTTCGATCGTCGCCGCCTGCATGATTTGGTATTTCTCCATAGGATTACGCATCATGATATGGACTGTCCTGAGCTTTTGAGTGAAATTAAATATGTAGTTCCTCACGGTATCCCTAGGTATCCCATCAATAAGATATTTTATGTGCCACTGTGCAAAACTAATTTGGGATTGAGTGCTCCTCTTGCAAGAATATGCAATAACTACAATCATATATGCGGTATAAATCCGGATATAGACGTAAGCCACGACTCGTTGGCAGTGTTTCGCGGTAAGATACTGAAGACCGTGTAGATTTGATGATATTATCCAGTCTTGTTTTATATTTAATTGAATTTTGTAATAAAGAATATGTAATTGTAAATTTAATTTATTACATTTATATGCATATAATCTATAGTCAATGTTGTGTACGCCTGCTGTAGGTATGCATGTCAGCATACTACATAAGAAATGTTTTTTTAATTTATGTATAATATGTATACTGTTGGTGTGCCTAATTCGAAATAAATAAATAAATAAACCAATAAATAAATAAATAGTACGTGAAGTTTCAAATTCGATACCGCGGTTATAAATCGCATTGGGCGCCTACAATCGATTTTTATTTAATATTTGGTTGTTTACATGTCACCAATTTTTTTTTTTCAAACTATATATATAAAAATATCGTTTTGATTTTTTTTTACTATTTTTCCCCGTTAGTAAACACAGTAAAGGGTACACTTATATATTTTTTTTATTTGTGTTTGCGCCTTTCCCTCTTGTGTGTATAAAAGTTTATGGGTGCAGGAACACTTCAATAATTCGTTTATTGTTTACTTTAGCGAAATATGAATTCATTATAAGATATTTATTAGGAACAATCGTTTGCTAATAACAGAGAGCCAGTGAGTGAAGTTCATGTCTATCACCGCAGTAGCACACCGTCGAAGTTTCACTTCGCTCCGGTGACGTTTTATCCATTTTGCTCAATAGATGGCACCAACAATTGGATTTAAAAAATCGGGCTTTTAAGGGTTAAAATATCTTTCATTCGATCGATTGTATTTTGTTTCAGATATAATCGACTGCCGCTTGCACAACTGTTGCTACAAAGGGGAGCCGACGTCCACGCGAAAGATAAAGGGTAAGGATTTGTTATTTAATCATTGATATGTAATGAGAGAACGCACTCGAGCCGACACAGTGTGGCCAATCGTCGAGAGTGGAACGTTTTGAGGGCCTACCATGAAATACCACCTGAGTCCTCAGGAATGGCATCGCATGGGCGTTGCCATTCCTGAGGACTCAAGTGTTATTCCTCTGTACCCAGTAAATTCACTGCCATATCCCACCCTTCAAACCGAAACAGCCATGCAAACACAACTGTTTCACGGTTGAAACACGAATGGGACAGAGGTACCCAAGCAATCGACTTTTGTACAAAGTCTCCCCTTACATAATCATATCAGTCATTGACTATCCACTGCTGAATGTAAACTTCTCCCATAATGGGGGCGGCCAGTAGTTGCCACGCTTGACAGGCGAGTTGGCAACCGCAGTTAGGTCTTTAGAGATGTTTTAATAGGGACGCTATTGCTCATCCCTCATTATTATTCTCATTTTTTTAATGCTGCTGGACCCTGGACTGAGGATTTATATTAAAAGTTACTAAATATAAATTTATCTGGTTCGCAGCTCTTGTACTGTCCTTTTCTTTACTATGTATTCATATTTTTTGGTCCTTCGAGCCGCATTAACCGCTTAATGCACACCTCCGTGACATATACGGGCGATGTTTACCGGCAGAATTGTGCAGCTCCGTGAACGTCACGGTCACTGTAATTTTATATGTCTCAAAATATTACAGCTCCGTACGGGTCACAGTTAATATTAGAAATATAATTTTCTAAATATTTTAAGTCCGTATCTGTCACGTTGGATGGTAGCTATTGGTGCAGTGAGTATGACGTGGGACTCTGCGTGGTACCTTGTTTTAAAATTTACCATACACAATTAAAATATTAATATATATATATATATATATATATTTTTTTTGCAAAAATAGTTAAAATAAGCGTAAATAATAATCATTTGCAAAAAATTAAATGCTTTATTTTTTTGTACCTAAATTGATTAAAAAAAATATGCATTAAGGGGTTAACTGGTATGTTTTATGTCCAACAGTGGGCTGGTACCTCTACACAACGCGTGTTCATACGGCCACTACGAGGTGACGGAGCTGCTGGTTTCGGCCGGGGCGGGCGTGAACGCAGCCGACTTGTGGCGGTTTACACCGTTACACGAGGCCGCCGCTAAGGGGAAGGCGGATATCGTCAGGTTACTGCTCAAGGTGTGTATACAATTTGGAATTAGAGACGACCTGATGGACGGATGATGGTCATGTCCTAAAGCCTCAATGGTCGCGTACTGCGCGGTTTCAGAGATGTTTCCTCCCACGAATACTCAGGTTGTGGAATGAGCTCCCTGCCGAGGTTTTTCCAAGAGACTACAACATGGGGTTCTTCAAAAGGGAGGTAAAGAGATTTCTTCAGGGTCGGCAACGCGCGCGCAATACCTTTTTTTTTTTTTTTTTTTTTTTTTTTACAACACAGGGGGCAAACGAGCATGCGGCTCACCTGATGGTAAGTGACTACCGCCGCCCATGATCACCCACAACACCAGCGGCATTGCAGGTGTATTGCAGGTGTTCATAGGCTACGGTAACCACTTACCATCAGGTGGGCCGTGTGCATGTTTGCCACCTCAGTGGTATAAAAAAAAACCTGATGGTACAGTTGAAGGGGTGTTGGAATTGTTATTTATAAATGTGGACAAGCATATTAGAGTTCACGCTTCTGCCATTCTTCAGGACTATGGTATGATGTCTTGTATCCTGTAAGTTACTTGTATATCCTATTTTTTCTTACCTTATATGCCATTTGTTCCCGGCATAGAATAAGTCACCCCTTCCTTTCCCATGGGTGTCGTAAGAGGCGAATAAGGTAACTTAATGGTCAAGGGATGGACCGCAGTGTCCCTTTTAAAACATCACCAGAAACCAAACTGCGGTTGCCAATCCATTTACCAAACATGGTAACTACTAATAAAATGTCCCAATAATAAACTGCTATAAGGAATGATCCCGTTCCTTATGACAGGGTATCATGGACGAAACAGTATACTCTGTTATGTCCATGGTACTGCTCATGTCTATAGGCGACGGTTACCACTTACCATCAGGTGGGCCGTCAGCTTGTTTGCCATTCTAAGTTGTATAAAAAAAACATAGGAGAAACTGGTAAACTTTGTGTACGGAGACTTGTACATTGTCTGGCAGCACGGCGCGGACCCGAGCCGCCGGAACCGCGACGGGCTGACGCCGCTGCAGCTGGTGCGCGCCGGCGACACCGACACGGCGGACGCGCTGCGCGGCGACCAGGCGCTGCTCGACGCGGCCAAGCGCGGAGACCTCGCGCGCGCCAGGTCAGTACGGTTACGCCGGCTGAATGTGAATGTGAGAAACACTCTGTTTTCCGCGCTTAGCCTCTCATTTGGGCCGTTGTGCGTATGAGCCGTGGCTAGTACAGCCAACCCAGCTCCGTCCAGAAGTGCAGAAGCTTCCTGGGTTCTTCACAGGCCTCACGGAGCGACCTCACCGTTCCGAGGATTTCTAAACGTTGATGGGCCACAGCCTCACATTCCAGGATTACGTGAGTGGTCGTTTCTTCGGCGTCGAAACAGCCTCGACATAGAGGGCTGTCTGTGGCTCCTATTGTGTATAAATGTTTGTTTAATGGACAATGGCCCGTTATTGTCCCTATCATTATTTTGAGGTTTTTTCTATCTAGATGTAACGCCGGGTACATCATACTTCACGAAGGCCAGGGGCTGACAATATACCAGCTGCGGGAGGGGGGGAGACTGCCAGTCACATTGCTGTCTTACTTCAGGTCAACACTCAGGTTATGGAATGAGCTCCCTGCCGAGGTTTTCCCAAGAGACTACAGCATGGGGTTCTTCAAAAGGGGGTAAAGAGGTTTCTTCAGGGTCGGCAACGCGCGCGTAATACCTCTGGTATTGCAGGCGTTCATAGGCTACGGTAACCGCTTACCATCAGGTGGGCCGTATGCTTGTTTGCCACCTCAGTGGTATAAAAAAAACGGTATGAGTATACTGTTTTTTTTTTATGTCCGTGGTACTGCTCATGTCTATAGGCGACGGTTACCACTTTCCATCAGGTGGGCCGTCAGCTTGTTTGTCATTCTAAGTTGTATAAAAAAATGTATACATATATGCAATACATAAACCATATTGTCTATGATTTATTTTTATTTATGCATCAGTTATTTGCTGTCTGCTCTGGCAAAGCAAAATATGTCTTAATTTAGGGCCAGTTGGTGTTATTTTTCGATATTTACTGTATTTTTGTTTTGTTTTTTTTTTTTTCAGGAAATTAATAACCCCGCAAAATGTGAACTGTAGAGACGCCCACGGGAGGAACTCGACTCCATTGCATTTAGCTGGTACGTATTGTTTAGATGGGTCAAAGAAGTATTTAGTCACAGGACATATTCCTTTATCATTTACTAGCTTTCGCCCGCGTGGATCTTGGTTATCGCAATATGCAATTTTTGGAAATAACTCGATAGATTTATTTGGATAAGGATTAATACTGGAGTATGAAAATACCATCCAGACGGCGAGCAGCGTGGTTATTCGTAATTTTAGAAAGAAATGTGATTATTGTGACCTAACCGTAATAGTTAGACATATGCTATCGCGGACTTATTTGTAGATCTCAATGAGTACTTTAAAGACGTAGAACATTGTTTTTCATTATAACCAACTATTTAGTCAGTGCAAGATAAGCGAATTTTATAAAATTTTTCTTCCGACTTGACATAAATGGTCACAGTTCGGTAAATATAACATATAGATATAGTATATAGCCTATGGCACTCCCAAAGTATGTAGCTATCGATTGGTGAAAGAATTTATGAAATCGGTCCAGTAGTTTCGGAGCCTATTCGTTACAAACAAAAAAACAAATGTTTCCTCTTTATAATATTAGTGTAGATTATAGCGACCCGCCCCGGCTTCGCACGGGTGCAATGCTAAGCGCAAAAAATGCGTTAATTTACGACATCACATTGGAAACCTCTAAAATTATTAGTGTTTCTCTCCTATGTTATGCATAGTGGACCCGCCCTCGCTTCGCTTCGGGTACCATTTTTACCCTCATAGGAGTTACTTTTCAAAATACCTATGTCCTAAAAGTTAAAACTTACCTACCTATACCATACTGGTGCGGTGAGCATTTTAAAGTTTTATTTAACACACCTCCCTCGCTAGACCTCTAAAATTATCAGTGTTCCTCTACTTCCCCTCCCGCACGCGCACCCCCGCCTTGGTGACGCTCACTTTGCAACGGGCCGTGCAGCAGAAATCGTAATATTTTAATTTCGCCATAACTTCAAAACAAAACGTCCAATTTTAATCATTCAAAGACCCCAAATATTATCTACATAAACTGTTCTTAGTGATGAAATAATTTATTTTGATAAGGATTAATAGCATGAGTAAAATAAATGAGTTTAAATGCAGTCCAAAAAAAATTCAAGATTTTTAAATAAAAAAATGGTTGTTGTGCCTCACTCGACATAGATAGGTATAGTGTGTCGCGGACTTTTTTGTAGATATTTATAAGATCTACAATTAATTAGAACATTTTATGGTTCTATCTTTTATTATAGTTTAGACAGCGTACGCAAAATAAGTAACTTTTCTCGTTGATTTATTACACCTTGTATTCGAAAAACCGAAATATTTTACGGAACCATATTTTTTTCCAAAATAAAATTTAGCCTATGTTACTCGTGGATAATGTAGCTTTCGAATGGTGAAAGAATTTTTAAAAACGGTCCAGTGGTTTTTGAGCTTATTCATTACAACCAAACAAACAAACAAAATTTTCCTCTTTATAATATTAGTGTAGATTAAAGACATCTAAAGTGTTATTTGCCCGATATATAGATATTGTAAATCAATATATATATATATATATATATATATATATATATATCTAGTATGGGAAACTTTGTACAAAAGTCGATTGCTTGGATACCTCTGTCCCGTTCGTGTTTCAACCGTGAAGCAGTTGTGTTTGCATGACTCTGTTTCGGTTTGAAGGGTGGGATATGGCGTGAATTTACAGGGTACAGAGGAATAACACCTGAGTCCTCAGGAATGGCAACGCATGGGGGGTATCTTGGGCGAAACAGTATACTCTGTTATGTCCACGGTACTGCTCATGTCTATAGGCGACGGTTACCACTTTCCATCAGGTGGGCCGTCAGCTTGTTTGCCATTCTAAGTTGTATAAAAAAAATCTATTACCTTTATTACAATGACTGGACCCTAAGGTAAAAAAATAACTTTCTTCGCCAGCCGGCTACAACAATTTGGAGGTGGCGGAGGCGCTACTGGAGGCCGGCGCTGCGGTGTCGGCCCGCGACAAGGGCGGGCTGGTGCCTCTCCACAATGCAGCCTCGTACGGCCACCTCGAGCTGGCCGCGTTGCTGCTCCGAGCTGGTACTCCGCCCAACGCTGCCGACAGGTATGAAGGCTGGGGAGATAGTGTATATATCTTCACGGCAAATGCCTTGCAGGGTACCTGAGAAAACCAAGAATTAAAGTAGGAATGAGTGATATCCATATTATGCAATTTACGATATTTTTTTATGACACTTTGGATAGCAATTTTGTGTTTTTTTTTTTTGATGGGTGAAAATGGTATGATAACCCCGCCTGCGCTAACGGGATACGCTGGTGGAGCACCAGTGAAGGGTGATAGATGAGAGTGAAAACAGGCCAGTTAGCCCATCATGATGAATTCATCGGGAATTAACCATGATAGTTTCCAGAGGGAACCGCGAGGAGGTCGACCTGGTTGGGTATATTGCTAGCAATGGGATTCTCAGTCTCCATTATTAACAATCCCTTCATCCTCCCTCTTGTGGGGGTTTGGCAGTTTGGCTTTACACATGTTTTTAAGAGGGATGCTGCTACCTGTCCTTCGCCCTCTCAAAGTTGCTTCTTACGACATCCACGGGATAGGAAGGGATGGCTTGTTTTATGGTGGGACCACACTGCCATTTATAGTTCGTACAATTACTAGCTAAAATCACATTCCCTTTGAATAATCTAGAGAGGCTTGTGGAGAGAGAGGCATGTTAATGCAATTTTCTACTCTACAGATGGGGTTTCACACCATTGCACGAAGCGGCGCACAAGGCTCGAACGCAACTCTGCGCGTTACTGGTGAGACATACACACATAGAAATCAATATATATAATAAAACCGTAACTGGTCGCTGTCTGTACATGGAAGATATATAGGAAAAACTATTGTGGCAAGGGGGGGGGGAGGGTTATGAACACGCAAAATAATGATTACTAGAAATATATATATATATATATATATAATTCTCTAAAAGGTTTAATTATGTTTACGTAATGATTTGTGCGGAGATATAAATATTGATTTTGTTTTAGTTCTAACATCGATACTAGATGGCGCTGTTTTCTGAAACACGCTACAATTTAGTTACGTTGAAATCTGGATCTTAGCGTTGCAGATTTGAAATATTTCGTACTTGTAACACCATTTTCTCTTTACATTATATTTATTCCCTCTTATGTTGTGTTTCGGTTGGGGGATTGTTTGGGCTGTTCAACACCCTGGGCGCTGAGCGCTTATCCCATCACTAGTTTAATTGGCTTTTTGCATGATTTATTTCAATAAATTAAGCCAAAAGTTTGAAACAAGAAATAATTTATAAAGGTTGACTGTAAGAGATCCCTTTATGGGATAAGTCCGCCATTGTATATTAAATCTTTGAACGTGTTCAGTATGAATTATGTACAATAAAGATTTTACAATACAATGCAATTTTATAGTACCCTTATTTTTGGGAGAAAAGAGATTGTTGGTAATACTAGCAATAGGGTATATTGGCTATAGAACGTTATGTAATGTAATGTAAATAGGACTCTATTTTCCGCGCTTAGCCTCTCATTTGGGCCGTTGTGCGTATGAGTCGTGGCTAGTACAGCCAACCTAGCTCCGCCCAGAAGCGCAGAAGCTTCCTGTGATCTTCACAGGCCTCACGGAGCGACCTCACCGTTCCGAGGATTTCTAAACGTTGATGGGCCACAGCCTCACATTCCAGGATTACGTGAGTGGTCGTTTCTTCGGCGTCGAAACAGCCTCGACATAGAGGGCTGTCTGTGGCTCCTATTGTGTATAAATGTTTGTTTAATGGACAATGGCCCGTTATTGTCCCTATCATTATTTTGAGGCTTTTCCTGTCTAGATGTAATAAACGTTTTGATAGTCATATCTTGGGTATATAGTGTATAATGGGTATAGTATAGTATAGTGGGGTATATTGGGTCAGGTTGACATCTACGTGGTTTATCTTGGAAACCATCGTGGTTAATTCTAGTTAAATTCCTCAGGATGGGCTAATTGACCTGCTTTCGTCCTTGGAAAAATCCCCCTTATTAGGGAGGCCTATGTGGCTATGTTAGAGGCTGATATGATGATTGGAACGGTAACCCCGCCTGCGCTATCGGTATACACTGGCGGGGCACCAGTAAGAGATAATAGGTGAGGATGAAAAGGCAGGCCAGTTAGCCCATCATGATAAATACAACGATGAATTAGTCACGATGGTTTCCATGGGGAATCGCATGGAGGTCGACCTAATAGGGTATATTGATACCAATGGGGGATTAACCTCCCCATTACTAACGATCCCTTCCATCCCACCCTTCAAGTCGAAACACAGCCATTTAAGTATAGAAGCGTGAATTGAACATCAAATTACGTGTAACACAGCTCGCCCACGGCGCGGATCCATACCTCAAGAACCAGGAAGGCCAGACGGCGCTGGACCTGGCCGGCGCCGAGGACGTGCGCTCGCTGCTGCAGGACGCGATGACGGCGGCCGCGGGCGACGCGCCGCCGCCGCCGCTGCCGCCGCCCCTGCCCCCGCCGCAGGTGCCCGTGCTCATGCCGAGCGGGGACACCGTTCCCTTAACACTGCCTGTAAGTAAAAATAAAGGAACATGGGCATGGCCCTTTATGACCAGCTCAATTTTAAAAAGCAATATCCTCTTGAAGGAATAATTATTATATAATAGAATATATTGGTTTGGTCATTTGGAGAGGATGGATGAAAGAAGAATTCCGAAAGAGATTTATCGAGCAAGAATGTAATGGAGATGTCCTACCGACAAAGTCTCCCTCTGGTATAATATTTTTTTTTTACAACTTAGAATGGCAAACAAGCTGACGGTCCACCTGATGGAAAGTGGTAACCGCCATGAACATAACAGAGTATACTGTTTCGCCCATGTTACCCCCCATGCGTTGCTAACACTTATAAAGTCTAAAAACACTAAATTGAATTTTATTGCCTTCATAGAAGAGATGTTTTCTCTTTAAAGTTTCTTGTAGAGTATTCTAAATGAGATGTTTTTTTTATAAACAGGTAGTGCCAAGCAATTACTGGGCGGAGGGCTCCAGAGGCAGCCTCGAGGACGCGGCGGGCAGACCGGCGTCGGCACTGTCCACCTCGGAATCTCTACAAACGTTCCTATCCAGGTACGCGTCATACTCGGGAACGGGTATTGTGGGAGAATTTTAAAAATTTAAAGGAAATACTAAATTAGACTGCATTTTGTAGTTGACCTTAGAAAAGAGGTCTTAATACATTTTTTTTATTTGTTACTGTTGCTATATGTACAGTGGTACCTCGACATACGAGTTTAATTCGTTACGTAGGGGGGAAAGGGATTGTTAGTAATGGAGACTGAGAATCCCATTGCTAGCAATATACCCAACCAGGTCGACCTGCTCGCGGTTCCCCTGGAAACTATCATGGTGAATTCCTGATGAATTCATCACGACGGGCTAACTGGCCTGTTTTCATTCTCATCTATCACCCTTCACTGGTGCTCCGCCAGCGTATCCCGTTAGCGCAGGCGGGGTTACCATACCATTGTCACCCATCAAAAAAATTTCGTTACGTAACCTTGCTTGTATGTCAAAAGGCAATTTTCCCCATTAAATCTAATTAAAATACTATTATATATATATATATATATATATATATATATATATATATATATATATATAAATTAATAAATTAATGCCACTTTTCGTTGTAATTTCATAATTCAAGAACGTGCTCACCTATCCAAACCAAATGTTTAGGCTTTGTTCCGACTATTTAGTAGATGGTTTATGTGAAGTTTGCACAAAATCGTTTGAGCGGTTCTTCATTTATCACATTTTTTTTGTAACAAATGAATTCAATAAATGGCGGATCATTTTGCTAATAGGGATTTTTGTGTCACGAATTTTTTTTTTTTATAATTTTTTAAATATTTTTTCTTGTATGAGCAGCATCGGCCTGGAGCAGCTGTCGTCGGTGCTGGAGCGCGAGCAGATCACGGTGGACATCCTGTCGGAGATGTCGCACGAGGACCTGCGGGCGGTGGGCGTGGCCGCGTACGGACACCGCCACCGCCTGCTCAAGGCCGCCCGCCACTCGCTGCACGCCGCCGCAGGTGACCGCCGCCATTTATATTTATTTATTTATTGACTAAAAAATTTACCAGAGGGAGACTGTCTTGCTTATTCCCTATATTGTATAATGCAAGTAAAGTATACTCATTCATTCATTCATTCATTCATTTATTCATTCATTTCGCTAAATATACATACATGAATACATTAAACAAATAATACATAAACATACAAATATATAATAAATATACATACATACAAATATAAATATACATATATGTAATACAAATACATACAGGCAATTTACAAACACAACGATACAATTGTATAAGTACAGTGAGGCGGTCTTATTGCTGAGAGCAATCTTTTCAAGACAACCTTAAGGTAATGGACTAATTGTTGTACAAGTGGGTATGATAGTGCTTCTCTATTGTATGTGTTGTGATTTTTTTCACCGCATAATAAAATTTCTGTTTAGCCAAAGGTTGACTGGGAGATAATGCTTATTAAGTCCGCCTTTTGTACCAGACATTTTTTTTTGTAATGTGGTCAATAAAGAATAAATATACCTACATACTTATAGATTATATTACGATAACACAAATAAACAACGATAGAGATCAAAGGTGATGATGATGATGATGAACCGCTTTCACAGTTTTTTCCAAAGATTATCGTGGACTTTTCACTTAAAAATCAATTCGTTAGACATTTGTCTTATGTCCATTGGGTAGCGCATTTGTGTATCTGTTATTTGTACGCTATAGAATGGTACGGCGGCACGACCCTGATCGAGGTGACGCCCAACACGGACGCGGAGTGCGGCGAGAGCGAATACGCGATAGTGGAGAGGGAGATGCAGGCGTCGGTGCGCGCGCACCGGGACCACGCCGGCGGACACTTCAGCCACTACAACGTCGTCAGGGTGACGTATACCGACGTACAGCCGGGGCTGGTGGGGACTGCCAGACACTCTCTATTGCCTCCTCCAAATGATTACAATAGTAAACTTATTATAGATACAAACAATTACAAGAAATGATCACAGTGAGACAACAATGGGCAGCCTTATCGCTGAGACCTTTGGGGGGAATGGGATTGTTAGCAATGGAGTTTGACAGCCCTTTTGCTAGCAATATGCCCTATTAGGTCGACCTCCACGTGGTTCCCCCTGGAAACTATCGTGAACAATTCTTGTTGAATACGTCACGTAGGGCTAACTGACCTGCTTCATCTTCATTTATCATCCATCACTGGTACCTCGCTAGTGTATACCGATAGCATAGGCGGGGTAACCATTCCATTATCACCCATTAAAAAGTATCGCTAAGAGCGATCTCTTGCAGGCAACCTTTGGATGGAGAGGAGTAATTATAAACTGATCATAATTCAATCATTCCTGCCATTAGGAATGGGAGCATTCCTTATAGCAGTTTACTATTGGGACATTTTATTAGTAGTTTTTTTTTTTATGGGTGAAAATGGTATGGTAACCCCGCCTGCGCTAACGGTATACGCTGGCGGAGCACCAGTGAAGGGTGATAGATGAGAATGAAAACAGGCCAGTTAGCCCGTCATGATGAATTCATCAGGAATTAACCATGATAGTTTCCAGGGGGAACCGCGAGGAGGTCGACCTAGTTGGGTATATTACTAGCAATGGGATTCTCAGTCTCCATTACTAACAATCCCTTTCCCCCCCATTTGAAAATATTAGGTGTCATAAAAGGGAAGCCTTTGCCTAGTTTTTGACATAAAAAAACGTATATATATATATTAAATAATTTATGTAACGTGTACAGATACAAAAGATAGTGAACGGGCGGCTGTGGGAGCGCTACCAGCACCGGCGGCGCGAGGTGGCGGAGGAGGCGGGCGCGGCCAACGAGCGGATGCTGTTCCACGGCTCACCCTTCATCAACGCCATCGTGCAGAAGGGCTTCGACGAGCGCCACGCCTACATAGGTACTCACGCACGTGGATAGGACGGCGGAGCGCGCTGGGCCCATAACCTATTGGGTCAACAACCTACTACGCCATAACTTGCTGGGGCATATAATTTGCTAGGTCCATAACCTGTTGGTACAACAAATTGCTAGGCCCATATACTCTTGAGTCAACAACGTTTTGGACCCATAACCTGCAAGATTGTCCTATTGATATTACGCTAAACTTTAATGGGATTTGGAATTTATCTATATAAGTGGGAATGCACATTAGGGCAGAAGACGCAAGCTGGGCCCCTAACCTTTTAGATTCACTTTAGAGAGATGGCACACTAATCCCCGGAAGGAGCACAGTCAACGGGATTTCATAGCCCTAGTGATGGAAACCTTAACTATTTAACTTAACTTTTTTTTTTACTTTAATAATTGTCTGTTCGTATTGTCCGCAGGTGGCATGTTCGGCGCCGGCATATACTTCGCGGAGCACTCGTCCAAGAGCAACCAGTACGTGTACGGCTTCGGAGGCGGCTCCGGGTGTCCGGCGCACAAGGACCGGAGCTGCTACTTGTGTCACAGGTATTTTTTTTTAATGGATGATAATGGAATGGTATCCCCGCCTGCGCTAACGGTATACGCTGGCGGGGCACCAGTGAGGGATGATAGGTAAGGTTGAAAGAAAGGTCAGTTAGTCCATCGTGATGAATACATCTGGAATTCAGTATGATGGTTTCCAGAGGGAACCGCGTGGTGTTGACCTATCAGGGTATATTGCTAGCAATGGGACTGGTAATTCGTATTACTAATAAGACCTTCCCCCCCGTGTCACAGGTTTTTTTTATGGGTGAAAATGGTATAGTAACCCCGCCTGCGCTAACGGGATACGCTGGCGGAGCACCAGTGAAGGGTGATAGATGAGAATGAAAACAGGCCAGTTAGCCCATCATGATGAATTCATCAGGAATTAATTATGATAGTTTCCAGGGGGAACCGCGAGGAGGTCGACCTGGTTGGATATATTGCTAGCAATGGGATTCTCAGTGTCCATTACTAACAATCCCTTTCTCCCCGTGTCACAGGTATTAGGACTCCTCGCTATTACCATAGTTAGTTCATGATTTTGTTTTTTTTTTTAAATTTGATCATCATCATCATATGCTTCAACTGTCCACTGCTGAACACAAGCCTCCCCCTTGGGGGGTTTTGCCAGTAGTTGCCACGCTTGGCAGCCGCAGTTAGGCTTTGGAGATGTTTTAAGAGGGACGCTGCTGCCCATCCCTCGTCCTCCCTTAGTCGCCTCTTACGACACCCACGGGAAAGGTTTATGTTCATTTTTATGTTTAAATTTTTCCCTAATAGTTGCAACCTAATGGCTTTGTTGCAGTCGCATTTATTATTGGATCATGCTGTGTGCACATGTTGTGGCAAGTTTACCCGATACCCGTTATGTACTTGCATATTATAATTTAAGTTTTTATTTGTAAACTTCTGTTATGTGCGCCTAATAAATAAAATTAAAAAAAAATAAAAGGAAGAAGGGTGACCTATTCTATGCCGGAACCAAACGGACATATTTAAATATGTTAATAGATAATAGGTACTTATAAATTATTTTTCTTAATGTTTTACGCTGTTAACTTTGTTAATTATACAATACTATAATACCTACTTGTACAACAATTAGTCCATTACCTTAAGGTTGTCTTGAAGAGATCGCTCTCAGCAATAAGACCGCCTTACTGTACTTATACAACTGTATCGTTACATTTACTAATTGTCTTGCTTATCCCCTGTATTGTTTTCACTTTGGTTAGTAAATTAAAAACGCTCCTAAAATAAAATTTTACATTTTGACGAGTGACGTTCGCGCCCGCAGACAAATGCTGCTGTGCCGCGTGACGCTGGGCCGCGCGTTCCAATTGCTGAGCGCCGCTAAGATGGCGCACGCGCCGCCCGGACACCACGCCGTCGCCGGCCGACCCTCCTCCGGCGGGCTCTGCTTCCCGGAGTACGTCGTCTACCGCGGCGAGCAGGTACCCACGCGTCCACACATCGACCGACAGACAGACCCACCGACCTATCAATGTAATGACCGGCAGACCCACTGACAAACCAATCGACAGTTGCACAGACCCACTGATAAACCAATCTACTGACGGATAGGCCCAGTGACAAACCAATCGACCGACGGACAGACCCACTGACCGACCAATCGACCTACGAGCAGACCCACTGACTGGCCATTAAACAAATGGATAGACCCACTGACAAACCAATTAACCGACGGACAGACCCACTGACAAACCAATCGACGGATGGACAGATCCACTGACAAACCAATCGACAGACGGAAAGACCTATCAACCAATAGACTATTCAATCGACAGACAGCAATCCTTTTCCTTACCCTTGCTGCGTTAGTACTATAATGTATTGTTTTTTTTTTCAGGCGTATCCTGAATACCTGATCACCTACCAGATTGTAAGCGGCGAGAACAACACTGGGGCTGTGTAGTGACAGACGGACAGAAAACCGGTGTATGGACGACTATTTAAGACACGAGATATTTAAAATTCAATAATACGAGAGACATTTATTGACCAAACCTTATAATATAAAGAGGAGAAAAATTCAATTTTTTGCACAAGTTTGTTTGTTTGTTTGTAATGGATAAACCTAGAAACTACACAAACCACTACTACCTGACTTTGTACAAAAGTCGATTGCTCGGGTACCTCTGTCCCATTCGTGTTTCAACCGTGAAGCAGTTGTGTTTGCATGGCTGTGTTTCGGTTTGAAGGGTGGGATATGGCAGTGAATTTACAGGGTACAGAGGAATAACATCTTAGCCCTCAGGAATAGCAATGCATGTTTTTTTTTTGTAGATTGCAATTGAGCCCGAAAATTTGGAATTTCATTTCATGGTAGACCCGATGTTTTGTCTCTTTCTCTCGTGTTAAATTCTAAATTTGAAAGTGACAATACAGTGTAATTACTCAAAGCTGGTTTGTAGTAAATTTTAGTTTTTATGAATAAGGGGGCTATATTTTTCCCTGCATTATATTCAGTGTTGTCATACGTTGCGTTTAATAATGAATAAATTAATTTTTTTATTAAATAATTAAAACTGATTAAAATAAATATTATATTAATAAATGTACAGTTAAATATTAATTCATTTAAACTGAATTTAGTATTCACAATATATATACATATATAGAATTATGGTTACCAAGTGTGGGGATTGAACATAGGCCTCCCCCCTAAGTGGAGTTTTGTCAGTAGATGCCACGCTTGATGGGCTAGTTGGCAACTTAGTCTTTGATGTTTTAAAAGGTACGCTGCTGGAAAAAAAATATTGTGTTTCTACCGTAAAGCAGTTGTATTTGCATGCCTGTGTTTCGGTTTGAATGGTGGGATATGGCAGTGAATTTACTGGGTACAGAGGAATAACACCTGAGTCCTCAGGAATGGCAACGCACGGAAGGTATCATGGGTGAAACAGTATACTCTGTTATGTCCACGTATTCGATGCGGCTGAAGGAACAATTCAAAATTTCACAGTACTGCTCATGTCTATAGGCGACGATTACCACTTTCCATCAGGTGGGCCGTCAGCTTGTTTGCCATTCTAAGTTGTATAAAAATACATCTAAAAGGTAATATGCAAAGAGTATTACATAAAAAAAAAAAATATTGTAATTTTTAAAATTAATTTAAAATTCGTTTCGATTGAATTCGATTCGTTGTACTTCCGTAATCAGTTGCAAGTCCATACACCGGTAACAGATCGTGTAGTGATTTGTAAATGTAGTTATTTTTTTTATAATTAATATTTGTATATATTATTAATAAAGTTATTTTTTGGCAGCTGCTAAATCGTCAGAGTTTATTTCAGTTCCACTTTTAGAAAGTTCTAAATTCGAATGCATTTTTTTAATTTTAAGGTTATGTTCCTCAAAAAAAATATCGACTTGAATTATGGCCAGACCCGTTTTCTTTTTAAATAAACAACTGAATTGATTTGATAAAATTTCTATGGTCCGATCTGTAAATCTTTTTTTATCCTTTTAAATAAAAAAATATATTACCAAATCGGTTTATAACTGACGGAGTTATTAACAAAAAATGCATCCGAATTTAGGATTCCCTCCATTTTATGATGCCGGTTGAAAAAATAATATTCTTTTTTTTAGGTTACTCGATAAATAAATAAAAAATGTAAGTGAAAAAAAAAATGTTTGTGAAGCCCTTAAAAAGCAGAGAGTAGAAAAAAATATGAAATATTAATTCAAAATTGTCGTTGCAGTTAAAGGATACAATTACCAAATTCAATTGTTATGTCAATACTATTGAAACGATTTCAATCAAAATTCTTTGAGACCAATTTTCGGATGAAAAAAGATTTTTCCATATCAATATACAACTGACGGTCTGACAGATTGACAGGTAAGGATGAAGTCAGATCAGTTGACGTATCGTGATGAATTGATTAATAATAAATCACGATGGTTTCCAGGGACAACCATGTGGATGACGACCTGACTCAGTATTTTTTTTTTAATGGGTGATTATGGAATGGTAACCCCACCCGCGCTATCGGTATACACCGGTGGGGCACCAGTGAGGGGTGATAGGTGAGGATGAAGTAGGTCAGTTAGCCCACCGTGACGAATTCAACAAGAATTGTTCACGATGGTTTCTGTTGTGTTTGTGGGTTTCTATATTGGGTGTAGTATTTAAATGCTATTATTATAAACAACAGATTTATTATACGTATTAATTTTGTAAAAGCAAGCGATAGCAGACAGCGCAAATCTGACAGAACATTTTGACATTTTGTGTTGAGGTGCGTTCCGAGCGTACGTAACACTCCCCCACGTTGTAACTTAAAGGTTCAATCTGTTTGTAGGTTTTCTGATTCTCGTACTTCGGCGAAGCACAACTGGTTGCTCGACACCACTCGGAGATGCCGGCGTAGCTACTGGTGCGAGCTGTGGCTGTGTCACATTCTCTGTAATAGAACCTGGAACAAATAAAGATTTTCTTTTCGAAACAGGCTTATTATTCTCCGTTCCTGTTTCATGGCAGGGTGAAGTTTCCAGTACAGGTGAGTCAGGTAAGTATTCTCTCCCATCAGGTGTATAATTCAATCTTCTTTCTTTTTCAGGTGATGATACAGATGTCGCAGCTGGCGTGGCTATCAACTTAGGTAAGTAAGGTAAGTATGTAACATCATTTCCTTGAGTACACATAGTTCTTCTTATCTGATCTATATGCCTTGTATGTATTTTTCCATCCACTTCCACATTGTAGTGTAGTTTTCCTTTCTTTTGTATTACTTTCCCAATTTTCCATTTATTACTGTCATAGAATCTAATCTGCACTCTGTCTCCTTCTCTATATATTTTATTAAATCCTTCTGTATTTTGTTTCATATTCATTTCTGTAGTTAGATCTCTTTTTACTAAGTCTATTTTTGTTCTATATAACCTTTTAAACATCATTTCCGCTGGACTTAATCCTGTAGTATTATTAGGAGTTTTTCTGTACATCATTAAAAATCTTGATAACTTTTCCCTTAATGTGCCTTTCTCATGGATCATGCTTTTAATTTTATTTTTAAAAGTTTGTACATATCTTTCAGCCTGTCCATTTGTAGATGGATGAAACGGTGCTGTAAACTTGGACTGAATTCCATTTTCTTTCAGAAATGTCATCATTTCTTCTGAACGGAACTGTCTTCCATTATCTGATACTATAGTTATAGGTAGTCCAAATGTAGTAAATAAGTTTTTTAATATTTTAATAGTAGCTGTAGTTGTTATGTATGTAGTAGGTATTACTTCTAGCCATTTGGTGTATGCATCCACAACAATCAGAAAATATTGATCAAAAAATGGTCCTGCATAATCAATGTGAATTCTACTCCATGGTTCTTTTGGGTATTCCCAACTGTGTATAGGTATTTTTGTAGGATTTTTCTGTAATAAACAACATGGTTTACATTCATTTACCATTCTTTCTATATCTGCATCTATATTTTTCCACCAGACATAGCTTCTTGCTAGTGCCTTCATTTTTACAATACCAGTATGAGCTGTATGTAATTCTTGTAGAATTGCAGGTTGTAATTGTTTTGGAATGACTATTCTTATTCCATAGAAAATGCAGTTACTTTGTATAGAAAATTCATGTAGTCCTTTTGTATAATTTGTACCTGATTGAATATCCTGATATAATTTCTGTAATTCTAAATCTTTAGCTGTAGCTTCTTTAATTTTCTGGAATGTAACTGGTAGTACTGTAAGTTGATTCAAGTAGAATACATCATCATCTGTTAGTTGGTTATAGTTTACTGTAGGGTGTTCTAACCTTGAGAAATAATCTGCATTTGCATGTTCCGTAGACTTCCGTACTTTTATATTGTAGTCAAATCCAGCAAGAAAATTTGCATAGTGTAATAGTCTTACAGCGGTAGTTGTAGGCATAGGCTTTTCCGGATGAAGTATTCTTGCTAGTGGTTGATTGTCAATTATTAATGTAATCTTGCGTCCATAGCAATAATGAAAGAACTTTTTCAAACCCCATATCAATGCTGCTGCCTCTTTATCCAGCTGGCTGTAGCCTTTTTCTGCACTGGTAAGTGATCTCGATGCAAATGCTATTGGTCTCTCCTTATTATCTGGCATAATGTGTGACAACACTGCACCAAATCCAACAGGTGATGCATCAGTAGCTAATGTAATTGGTAAGTGTGTATGAAAGGGTGTAAGTACCTTTTCGCTACATATTTCCTTCTTTAATTCTTGAAATTAAGTTTCACATTCTTTTGACCATATAAATTTTATATTTTTCTGTAGAAGTGTATATAGAGGATTTAGTTTTGAAGCTAGATTAGGAATGAATTGTTGGTAATAATTAACCATTCCCAGAAATGTTCTTAATGTAGATACATCAGTGGGACGTGGACTATTCTTAATATCATTTACTTTTTCTTCAGTAGGATGCAAGCCGTTCTCATTTATTTTATGTCCCAAGTATGTAATAGATTTCTTCAAGAATTGGCATTTATTTTTATTTAAATGTAGTCCACACTCTTTTAACTTTTGAAAGATAGTTTGTATTCTTTTTAATAATTCTATGTATGTCTGTCCTTGAATAGCTATATCATCGAAGAAACAGGCTGTACCTGGTAGTCCCTGGAGGGTCTGATCCATGTATCTTTGCCATTGATTTGGAGCGACTTTGACACCAAACATTAGTCTATTGACTTTAAATGTACCTTTGCATGTGCTGATGGCTTGCATTTCAGCTGTGGCTGGGTCAGTTTTCATGTGTAAATATGCCTGATTTATATCCAAGGTACAGAAATATCTACCACCACTTAGTTTGGAGAAAACTTCTTCCACTCTTGGGATTGGGTACTTATCATCAAGTAAATTTTTATTTAATGTGGCTCTGTAATCAGCACACAACCGTACACTGCCATTCTGCTTCACGACTGGTACTACAGGCGTTCCCCATTGTGAATATGTAACTTTCTCTAATATCCCAGCCTTCTCTAATCGATCAATTTCGTTTTCAACTTTTTCTTTTAGTGCAAACGGTACTGGTCTTGCCTTGATGAAAATTGGTGTAACATTTTCTTTTAAACTGAATTTCACTGTGTAGTTCTTTATTTCTCCAATTTCTTCTGAAAATATCTCTCTATATTGATCTATTAATTTTTCTAAATTTTTCTTGTATTGTTCTTCAGTTATATCATTTTTCCCTATCTCTATTTTATTTATTTCCAAACGTACTCCTAATTTTCTTAACCATTCTCTTCCCACTACTGGGTCGACTTTCCTATTAAGAACAAATAATCTTCCTGTAATTTTCTTATTTTTGTATTGTATTTTTATGTTACAAATTCCTATTGGGTTTATAATTTCACCAGTATAAGTTCTCAATTTTATTTTTGAATTTTCAAGTTTTAAATCACTGAAATATTTATTATAATATTCTGTAGAACAGGTGGTGACTGCATGGCTCCTGTATCCAATTCCCATGTATGTCTCTCTTTGCTATGTAATTGTAATGTAATTTTAAACTTTTCATCCTTTTCGCTGTTTTCTATTTTATGTATTTCATAAATTTCATCTTGACTTGAATATTCTTCATCTTCAATTGTTGTAATTTGTTTTTGTGACTTAAAGCAAACTGATTGGATGTGTCCTTTTCGGTTGCACTTTTTACAATATAATTTATTCTTCAAATAACATTTATTTGCCTTGTGGTTTGATTTTCCACATCTATAACAGCTGCCTTTCTTACCTGTATTTTTGTAAATTTTTGGTATAGGTTTTTGTGAAATTTTATTAATATTGGGCATATGAACATCTGGCCCCATTTGTTGGGTTTCACTTTTGGATGTTTCGATTGCCATTGCAATCCTTATTATTTCATCAAATGATGTTTGTGATGATTCTTGTAATAACCTTTCTTTAATTTCTGAACTGCGAAGACCTCGTATGAATTGTACACGTAAATGTGTATCAAATGTTGTAGATTTACATGAATTGCAGATAAAATTGCATTTTCCTCCTATTTCCTTTAGTCCCGCTACGTAGTTAGCGATAGATTCATTTTCATTTTGAATCCTTAAACAGAATTTGTGTTGTTGAGCAACTTCTCCTGGTTCTGGTGCAATATGGTTCTTTAATATCTCAACAAGTTGTTCATATGTTTTATTTTCCAGTGTATCTGGAGCAGTAATATTTTTGAGGACTTGGTAATATTTAGCACCAATACAATTTAAGAAGATTTGCAACTTTGTAACAGGGCTTGTAACCCCTTTAAGATTAATATAATTGTTCAATCTTTGTATGTATGATCCAAAAGATTCGTGGAGTTCGTCATAAGGTTGTAAAACAATACCACTTACTGTGTTATTACTTGTAGTTTGCTGTTGCTGCATAAACATGGTTTGCATCTGCGCTTGTTGATTCTGCACCGTACGTAGTGTCTCGGCGAGTGACGACATAAGTTGCGTAAATTGTACTTCCATTGTAATGGATACAGGAATTTGTGAAGCGGGCTATCATCACAGGGAAAGGAGCCCCTGGATTGGAAGGAAGGGTATGTATGTAGGAACAATTGGGTTATTGAACACGTGGCTGTCCCGCCATTTCACTTTAGGTGTACCGATTAATGCTGCTGTACCAGTTAATCTTCGATCCTCGTCGCCAGTCTGTTGTGTTTGTGGGTTTCTATATTGGGTGTAGTATTTAAATGCTATTATTATAAACAACAGATTTATTATACGTATTAATTTTGTAAAAGCAAGCGATAGCAGACAGCGCAAATCTGACAGAACATTTTGACATTTTGTGTTGAGGTGCGTTCCGAGCGTACGTAACAGTTTCCAAGGGGAACCACGTGGAGATCGACCTAATAGGGCATATTGCTAGCAGTGGGGCTGTCAAACTCCATTACTAACAATCCCTTTCCCCCCAACTCAGTATATTGCTAGCAATGGGGCAGTTAGTCCCTATTACTAACAATCCTTTCTCCCCGTTCCTCGCCCTCCTATTAGAGATTACAACCGCAAGCATAGACTTAGTATAATCTACTTATTCATAATCTAAGATCGTCTTCAAATCTATTCTAGTTTATTCTCAGATTATGACAGTACAAAGAGTATATAACCAAGGGATAGTGAGGGGAAAGGGATTGTTAGTAATGAAGACTGAAAATCCCATTGCTAACAATATACCTAACCAGTTCGACCTCCACACGGTTCCCCCTGGAAACTGTCATGATTTATTCTTCATGATGAATTTATCATGATAGGTTAACTGACCTGTTTTCATTCTCATCGATCACCTTTCACTGGTGTTCCGCCAGCGTTTCCTGTTAGCCCTGGCGGGGACACCAATCCATTTTCATCCAACAAAAAAAAAAAATAAGGGATAGCAGTACATTCTTAGATTATATAGATACAGTGTCTCCATACAAATGCTTCGAGAAAAGCGGGACAACTTTTTCACACAATTTTGCGTAACAAATAGTTATGAGTGATACCGTTTATAACTTCTATATTTATTTTGTCTTATAATTTTTGCATCTTTTTATTACGTAAGAACTCATTTTTATTAAATATAGATACATCAAGATACATTGTGTACGTAAGTATATAGAATAAAACGATTAAAACGAGTCAGCTAATTTGACAATTAACAGACAAAAAATCGACCCGTTTTGAAGCTCTATATAATCTAAGAGTACGTTATACTATATCTATGATTTAACGGTGTTTTTTTTTAATTGGCAAAGGGCTAATGTTTGCCTTAGAATGTTGCTCATTATGCCGCCAACAAACAGAAAAAGAGACGGCATGTTAAAAAAGAACGGTAAGGATTTAAAAAAAAGAACAAATTAAGCTGTGGTTAAATTCTTTTTTTGTATTTCGAGTAGTGCTATTGGAACAGAAGCGAGATAATTTTGCTATTTTTAAATATCGAAAAATTCAAATTTTCGAATAACACGGTGTATTCAGTTATTAGTTGGAATTTAAACTACTATTATTATAAAAAGAATAAATATTTAATTCATTGTTAATTAATGAATAAATTCAAATACTAGTCGATTGATTTAGAAATTCCTTTGTTTTTATACAACTTAAAATGGCAAACAAGCTGACGGCCCACCTGATGGAAAGTGGTAACCGTCGCCTATAGACATGAGCAGTACCATGGACATAACAGAGTATACTGTTTCGCCCTTTACTCTGTTACCTGTAGCAAGCTATATGGTTAGCAAGAAACAAGGGCTGTATTTAAAAAAATAATCGTGCGAAGCTGAAATGGGTCTCTAGTATGAAATAAAACAATAAACACTTTAATACTATTTTATTATTACAATATTCTGTTATTTATTATATTTTGTAAAACACAAATATTACATGAATCAGATCTGGTAATTTTTATAACAGACATATTTTGTATTAAAAATTTTTTACACCACTGTGGTGGCAAACAAGCATACAGCCCACCTGATAGAAAGTGGTAACCGTCGCCTATAGACATGAACAGTATCATGGACATAACAGAGCATACTGTTTCGCGCATGATACCCCCATGCGTTACCATTCCTGAGGACTCGGGTGTTATACCTCTGTACCCAGTAAACTCACTGTCATATCCCACCCTTCAAACCGAAACACAGCCATGCAAACAAAACTGCTTCACGGTAGAAACACGAATGGGACAGAGGTGGCCAAGCAAACGACTTTTGTACAAAGTCTCCCTCTGGTAAAAAAAAATACTGTTATAAAAATTTATTTTTACAACTGAAACCGCATTGTTTCAACATTGCACCCGAGCGAAGCCGGGGCGGGTGGCTAGTTTACAATATAATCTTATTCTAAATTGACTAGAAGCCACATAGATATGTAGTTTATCGCGCACCCATAGATAGAGTCGAAGCATAGGCATTTCTCAAGGTACCTATTTATTGTTTTTAACAATAAATAGGTACCTTGAGAAAAATTACTAGTAAAGGATCTATAACCTATTTTTTTAATCTGAAACTTCTGATAGTAATAGTGGTGGTGAATCTTCGAGTGTTGCCAGTCATACACATACTAATTGTAGCGGAATTAAACAAAATAATTTTAAACAAATAACCCGAGTGTTGCCAGTCATACACATACTAATTGTAGCGGAATTAAACAAAATAATATTAAACAAATAACCCGAGTGTTGGCAGTCACACACATACTAATTGTAGCGGAATTAAACAAAATAATTCTAAACAAATAACCCGAGTGTTGGCAGTCACACACATACTAATTGTAGCGGAATTAAACAAAATAATTCTAAACAATTAACCCAAGTGTTGGCAGTCACACACATACTAATTGTAGCGGAATTAAACAAAATAATTCTAAACAAATAACCCGAGTGTTGGCAGTCACACACATACTAATTGTAGCGGAATTAAACAAAATCATTCTAAACAATTAACCCAAGTGTTGGCAGTCACACACATACTAATGGTAGCGGAATTAAACAAAATAATTCTAAACAAATAACCAGTTATATGGACTTAGGCAGGATAACACCTAATTCAGTGAAATATTTACAATATATAGGAATTGCTATATGTATATTATTCAACCATATAATAAAGTTACTTTCATATTTATACCAGGCATGGGTGATATGGATACCGATCCAATATCTGGAGTCGGGTTAAATACATTTATTATAACGTTGTATGTTATGGGTGAAAATGGTATGGTAACCCCGCCTGCGCTAACGGAATACGCTGGCGGAGCACCAGTGAAGGGTGATAGATGAGAATGAAAACAGGCCAGTTAGCCCATCATGATGAATTCATCAGGAATTAACCATGATAGTTACCAGGGGGAACCGCGAGGAGGTAGACCTGTATTCCCCCATTGCTATATATTACTCACGCCTAATTTATACTATTTATTAATGATTAAATATAATAATAAAAAATTATAGACAGGGATTCAAATCCGCCGTCATATTTATATGTGAACACGACACCTTCTGTCCGGTGGGCACTGCTATCCTGAACAGCTTGCCTTGCGGCATACAAACGCACACTTTGAACTGTCCCGTTGACGATTTATCGGTTTTATTCACCGGCAACGCTATTGGTAAATATCTCACGTCTACAAACACTCCCTCCTTGCCGCTGAGTACCACAGAGCCGTTGATTGACTTCAGGTAGATATCCTGATCAGCCTTCCATAGTAGCTCCTTGGACTCCATACGTGTGCCTTCCGCGCCGCGGAGGTGTGCCGACGTGTTCGACCTGAGGAGCAGGTCCTCGTCCACCGGAGACGTTATCCGTTTTGTTGACAGTTGCTGGAAATTGAATGAGGTTTTATCTAAACTTCGCGTCTGAAGAATTTTTTTTTTGCAACACAGGGGGCAAACGAGCATGCGGCTCACCTGATGGTAAGTGACTACCGCTGCCCATGATCACCCACAACACCAGCGGCATTGCAGGTGTGCTGCCGGCCTTTTATAAAGGAATATGCTCCCAGTACCATGGACATAACAGAGTATACTGTTTCACCCATGATACCCCCCATGCGTTGCCATTCCTGAGGACTCAGGTGTTATTCCTCTGTACCCAGTAAATTCACGCCATATACCATACTTCAAACCGAAACACAGTCATGCAAACACAACTGCTTCACGGTAGAAACACGAATGGGACAGAGGTGCCCAAGCAATCGACTTTTGTACAATGTCTCCCTCTGGTAAATATATAAAATATAATATATAAAAGGCATAGTTACACCAGGCAGATCAAGGAAGTTTTTTCTTGATCTGCATATATATATGTATATATTCCTATACATACATATATATACACAACTAAATAGATATATGAACTTACTTTAGCATGTAAATTGTTGACGCCGTCTGGTAGATTCATTTGCGTAGCGCCGGTGCTGAACACTGTCTCCCCGGAGTCAGGGTCCAGCAGGTGGAGGGCGTTGACCCCGCGCACGAACACGCCCGACGTGTTCACCGTGAGCTTGGTGTCAGAGCGGGACAGCCTGACGGCAACCGTAGGAGCATTTGAAAACAGCAATGTCAATAATCTTAACACTAGATACAAACTAGCTGTTAGTAAAAAATAAATTTAACCAATTTTATTAAAAAGACTTGCGAGATGGCCAATTTCAGCGATAGAACCAGGAGTACATTACCTGGTCTGCAAATTGAACAGAACTGATCCGTTCTCGCTAGTTATAGACATTGGAGTGTCCTTGTAGCTCTCCAGCAGTCCGTCCCTCTTGTACACGTGCTCCAGATCAGTGGCGCCGAAGAATTTTATTGCATTATGTTCAGGAAGGAATTCCATGCTCTCCATACCTGTGCCATTGAAAATGGATAACTGAATTTGTCTTTTAGTTGCATGGTTTTATAACTAAGGCAACCTTTGGATGGAGAGGAGTAATTATAAACAGTTTGATCGGAGACATGATGAAGATCCTATTATTTCTAAATATGGAGATATAATACATGTAATAATGTAAATATATATCCCTACTCATTATATATATATACACACACATACACCCACACACACACACACACACATATATATATATATATATATATACATATATATATATATATATATATATATATATATACATATTAGTTACCTCAGTACTTTAGTTAGTTATAAACCGATTTAGAATTATTTTTTTTTATCTAAAAGAGTTACAGATTGGTCCCGTAGAAATTTGAAAAAAAAAATGGTTTAGTAGATTGGTTTTTAAATTAAAATAACTGGTTTTGTCATAACTGAAGTAAGTATCTTATATTTATCAAGGGATCAAGCAGCCATGGGAAATAAATAGGACAAGGGATTGTCAGTAATGGGGATTACCAATCCTATTACTAGCAATGTACTCTTATCAGTTTAACATCTATGCGTTCCCTATGGAAACCACCATGGTTAATTCTTGTGGAATTCATTACAATTGGCTAATTAACCTGCTTTAATCTTCACTTATGATTTGTCACTAGTGCTTTGCCGGCGTATACTAATAGCACAGGTGGGTTTAATCAGATCCATTCCATTTTTAAATTCAAATTTATTTAAATTATGTCAGTAAAAAAGATTATAATTTAGTAGGCCATATACCTGAGAGGATATTTTCACCCAATTAAAAAAAAGTCTTAAATATGCCAATAATGGGACCTGCCGGGGGTGGCAGTCTTGAGCTACGTATGCCACTCAAAGGATTTTGATGGTGAAAAATAGTAAGTAAAATATTAATGGATACCCTTAAGTACTATGTAAGAAAAACTGAGAAGATGAATTACCATGTCCCAGTCTGAGGACGGCTAAAATCGTGAAGATTAGTATCAAGTTTCCAATGGCGAGAGCAAACAATAACACAACCAGCGTCCAGAAGGCGAAAGTCTTCCTCCCCTTGTGTACCGATTTGGTGACATCGTTCCCATTTTTATCGGAATAATTCTTGAGAACCGACGATTTGCCGAACACTTGACTCTGTGCTGATGTTTTAGTTAAAAGCGCTTTCTCCGCGCGGTTTCTCTCCAAAGTGCTTTCCGACATCGTTTCCGATGATGGGGACACTCCGCGAAGGCCGTTCAGCATTTCGCACTATATTCTTTATTCCGGTTTTCTATAGGAAAGCATAAATTTAAAAATAGCTCGATGTTTTCACAATACTGACAATTCAAGTCAATCAAATTATTGAGCGAAGATTACGTGTTATGATTGGCTGATCGGTTAACCAATAGAATTGATACAGTTCAGTGTTGCGAGAATTTATTAATTTTTCTACTACGGTGAAAAAGTTTTTGCATTGCAAATAAAACCTAACATAATATTAGGTGTCATAAAGAGCAAAAGTTACAACTACATTATAATAAAAATACGTTTAGCAATTTCATAATATTATCATATCAAAATAATGAAATGTGAGTCACCATAAAACGTTGTACTTATATTTATCTTTTTTCTTTAGTAGTATTTACAAAAGAAAAAAAGGAATATAAATATATGTGTTTATCTATACCTGTATATAAATTATTATGTAAAAGTTGTTATAAAAAAGTTTATATGTAGGAAAATATAATTGTCTACTATTTTAGTAGTTATTAAGTTGAATGACAACATTTATTATGGCGTGTAATTTAAAATTTGAAAAAATTTACGTATCTTAAATTTCAGTTAGATATTTTGGAAAAGGGCGGGAAACGTAAAATTTGGCTGTCGAGTTTTTCTGAATTATTTATTTATTTATATTATAATATCGATCAGATAAGTTACAAATAGCATTTATATTAGTTTAAATTTGTATATATTAGTTTTGTGTAATAGTAGCTGTAAACTAGGTAAGTTTCTGTATATATTTCTTTTTAATATATGGACCCCCCGGATGATCCCGGGGGTACGGTCCCCGAGGTCGCTCTTCATGTAATTATTAGTAATAATGAGGATTCTATGGACACAGATTGCTCTGTTAATATTTCTGATAATTCTGGAACAAAACGAAAACGTAAATCAGTAGCCGGCAATGTTTGTAGGCATTGCAATAAAAAACGTAGGAGGAATCGAGGAGGTGAAAACAATAAGAATAAATTTTCATGTGAATGTACTCAATTCAACGAGGAAAAGCAGCAACAATCTTCTAATAATAATTTAATAAATAATCAGGAGAATGACTCATCTCGTCCACATAACTTTATTAGTAGAGTTTATTATGAACCTCATGATTCTGCTCCATTCACCGTTCACATACAAAAAGTTTTATCATCCCCGGATGATAATTCTACACTTCACCCAATAGCCTTTGGACGTTTCCTTCAGAAAAGTCCTTTCAAAAATGTAATTGATGGTAGTCTGAAAAAGATAGGGCGAAATAGATTATCATTAGCTTTCTCTAATTATACAGATGCTAATTCTTTTATAAATAGTATGGATTTAAAATCTCATAATTATAAAGCCTTTATACCAACATTCAATTTAACAAGGATGGGAATAATAAGGGGCATCCCAACTGCCTGGTCTGATGAGGAAATTATAGAAAATGTTTCAGTTCCATTAGGTTGTGGCAAAATTTTGAAAGTTAGGCGTTTAAAGAGAAAATCTCTTGTTAACGGTAAATCTGAATTTGTAATGACTGAATCCGTTGTTATAACTTTTGATGGTCAAGTGTTACCTAAGCGAGTTTTCATATGTTATAATTCATTGCCTGTTGATTTGTACATATACCCTACCATTCAGTGTTATAATTGCTGTAGGTATGGCCATATTAAAAATCAATGTAGATCTGTTCCACGTTGTTATAAGTGTGGTCAGGGCCACTCTGGAGAATCCTGTTCTGTTCATGAAGAAGATTTTTACTGCTGTTTATGCCAAGGTGCTCACCAGGCAAACAGTAAAAAATGTCCAGAATTTTCAAGGCAAAAGGCAATTAAAGAAACAATGGCTAAAAGTTGTATCTCTTATGCTGAAGCAAGCAAATTGCATGCTCCTTCTATTAAATCATATGCTGACACTCTAAGATCTAATCCAGTTATTGTAAATAGTACAGTAAACTCAAACCAGAATGGGATTCATAATGTAATTTCTCCTCATTCTAATAAATCTTATAAAAAAACTGTCATAGAAAAAATTCGTCGTCCTCCAAAACCTTCCTATGGGTTTGATCGTAATGAATATATCACTTTAACAAAAGACTACAATCCTCCTGCTCCTGCAGATGGATGTGGTTATAAACAGCAAGATGAATCTAAACAATCTATTTCTGAAATAGTAATAGCTCTTTTAAATTTATTAACACAATTTAATATCATTCCACCGTCCAACGTTGCTTCTCTTTCAAATGCATTCATTAATATTTTAAATAATAAAAAGAACGGACTACCAAGCCAAAGTTCTGCAGTGGAACTGCCGTAGTGCAGTTAGTAAAAAAACAGATTTAATCTATTTAATAAACATGTACAAACCTTTGTTTGACATGTTTATTAAATAGATATAATAGATAATAGAATGAGTCCTCAGATATGGGTGATTTGAATATCCTAAATTGTCTTCTCTATGACCATTCTGTTCTTTTCAATTCCCTCCTTTCCCTCCGTATTCCCTTTCCTACATCAGTTCCAGTATTATTGTTTCTTGATAATTTAGAAGTATATTATTTGATTTCCTCTTTTATTCTTATCAATAATAGTAAGTTGCAAATTTTCTTATTTTATGTACTTTACATATATATGTATATTTTTAATGTTAAATATATTGTAATATCTATTTAGGTATCTGTCCTTTTCCTTGTATTATTCACTATTCAACTTTTCTGATCCTTATCCTAATCTCCGTCGTCCAAAACTCCTTTACTAAAATGCTGTTTCCCAAACTTTGTTTTTGGCGGATGCACTTTGTGCCGTGCCATAAGAAAGAAAAAAAAAAAAAAAAAAAAGAAAAAATTTCAGTTATTGGACTTTTCAATTTTTCTGTTTTATTTTAAAGAATATATCACAAGCTTAGTAAAAATTACAGTAATGTTTAATTAATTTAAAGAATTTCTATTCAAAAACGGTGCTGTTTCGTTGGGAAATAAAATAAAATTACAATCGGAGACCAAAGATATTGGAACCATAATACTGTTTAACACAAAAGGCTATGAAAAAAACGTTATGGATAGATATAAAAAATGCGAGCTTCTGAATATAATACAGCATATAGATATTTACGGTAAACTCCGTTCGAACTACGTAGAACACTGTATGAATAAAAAAAATGTATCTCAAGTATCAATGACCGCCATTTCTTCGACGTCTAAAAAAATTATATGCGGAGATTGTTCGAACAAAGATTGTGTAAAAGATACATTGTTGGACGATAAACTTAGTAAGCTATCAGTGACTACTAGGGTCTCTGGTTTGTACCCTGGTAACGACATTTTGTCGAAACGAAGAAAAATTTTGTGGAGAAAAAGGAAAGTTTTGAGTTAACTAATCAGATTGTAATTCGACGGTACAGTTTTCTTTTTGTTCATAAGTAAAATTGTTAGTAAATATAAACTGTTTTTTTTTTTTTAATATTTTACTGACCTAGGTGTTATCTGGCGGAAAGCCATATATCACTTATTAGTTGACTAGAATTATTACTTTTCATCCGTTACATTAGTGTGCGTGCGATTGCCAACACTCGAAGATTGACTACTGTCATTATTACCAGACGTTCTACAGCTATATTAGCCATCAGTCACCGATCTCCATTCAGTCCACGCACGTTTTGTGCAATATGTTTCACCTCTCAAGGCATCTTCAGGTAAATCTATAGATTGTTGCGCGGAGCATAGTGTTAACCGTTCGGCGGTTTTTTTTTATGGTTGAAAATGGTATGGTAACCCCGCCTGCGCCAACGGGATACGCTGTCGGAGTACCAGTGAAGGGTGATTGAGAAGAACGAAAACAGGCCAGTTAGCCCATCATGATGAATTCATCAGGAATTAACCATGATAGTTTCCAGGGGGAACCGCGAGGAGTTCGACCTGGTTGGGTATATTGCTAGCAATGGGATTCTCAGTCTCCATTACTAACAATCCCTTTCCCCATAGAGAAAGAGATTGTAAGTACGATATACAGATATTGCTCTATATTACCCATTCCTAGGTATGAAATGTAATGAAACACAAAATGGTAGTAAATTATAAATTTATTATATAATTGTCTTATTTAGTTCACTTAAATCAGTATCCTTATCTAAGCCGCCACCCCGTCTTGTACGCCCTCGTCGTCTGTAACAAAGCAGATCATTAATCACTTACTAGTATAAACGGGTTCTTGCTTCGATTTTTGGGAGTGCCTAGATTTGGAATTCACTTCTATACAGCCTATATATAATGGCAAACAAGCTGACGGCCCACCTGATGAAAAATGGTAACCGTCGCCTATAAACATGAGCAGTACCATAGACATAACAGAGTATGCTGTTTCGCCCATGATACCCCCCATGCGTTGCCATTCCTGAGAACTTAGATGTTATTCCTCTGTAAATTCACTGCCATATCCCACCCTTCAAACCGAAACACAGCCATGCATACACAACTGGTTCACGGTTAAAACACGAAAGGGACAGAGGTTCCCAGTGCCCAGAGGTGTAAGTAATGGAGTTCTAAGAGAGTATAACAAGCAATATACTCTATCAGGTCGACCTCCATGCGGTTCCTCTTGGAAACCATCATTCATTCTTGTGGAATTCGTCACGCATGAGCCGACTGACTTGTTTTCATCCTCACCTATCATCTCTCACTGGTGCTCCGCCAGTGTATACCGATAGCGCAGGCGGGGTTACCATTCCATTATGACTTATTGAAAAAATACCCTTCAACCGAAGTGCAGTTTTGGAAAGTCTTTCATGGTAGGCAGGCAGTACCTTTGTCATCTGTGTCCATAGGCTCGGGCGTCTCTTGGTAGGCGGGCGCTAGAGGCGAGACCACGACCCCGTCCCATACAGTGATCTCCGTGGAGATGTCCTTTCCGCC